GTTATGACATGGATGCAGGTGTACGAATCATGGTTGTGACATGTATGCAGGTGTATGAATCATGGTTGTGACGTGGATGTAGGTGTGTGAATCATGGTTGTGACGTGGATGCAGGTGTGTGAATCATGGATGTGGCGTGGATGCAGGTGTGTGAATCATGGTTTTGACACAGATGCAGGTGTGTGAATCATGGTTGTGACGTGGATGCAGGTGTGTGAATCATGGTTCTGATACGGATGCAGGTGTGTGAATCATGGTTTTGACATTGATGCAGCAATGTGAATCATGGTTGTGACGTGGATTCAGCAATGTGAATCATGGTTGTGATGTGGATGCAGCAATGTGAATCATGGTTGAGACACAGATTCAGCAATGTGAATCATGGTTGTGACGTGGATGAAGCAATGTGAATCATGGTTGTGACGTGGATGCAGCAATGTGAATCATGGTTTTGACATGGATGCAGCAATGTGAATCATGGTTGTGACGTGGATGCAGCAATCAGAATCATGGTTGTGACGTGGATGCAGCAATGTGAATCATGGTTGTGACGTGGATGCAGCAATGTGAATCATGGTTTTGACACAGATGCAGGTGTGTGAATCATGGTTGTGACATGGATGCAGCAATGTGAAATCATGGTTGAGACGTGGCTGCAGGTGTGTGAATCATGGTTGTGACGTGGATTCAGGTGTGTGAATCATGGTTGTGACGTGGATGCAGCAATGTGAATCATGGTTGTGACATGGATGCAGCAATGTGAATCATGGTTGTGACGTGGATGCAGCAGTGAGAATCATGGTTGTGACACAGATGCAGGTGTGTGAATCATGGTTGTGACATGGATGCAACAATGTGAAATCATGGTTGAGACGTGGATGCAGGTGTGTGAATCACGGTTCTGACACAGATGCAGGTGTGTGAATCATGGTTCTGACACAGATGCAGGTGTGTGAATCATGGTTTTGACATGGATGCAGGTGTGTGAATCATGGTTGTGACGTGGATGCAGCAATGTGAATCATGGTTGTGACGTGGATGCAGCAATGTGAATCATGGTTGTGATGTGGATGCAGGTGTGTGAATCACGGTTCTGACACAGATGCAGGTGTGTGAATCATGGTTTTGACATGGATGCAGCAATGTGAATCACTGTTTTGACATGGATGGAGCAATGTAAATCATGGTTGTGACATGGGTGCATGTATGTGAATCATGGTTCTGACACAGATGCAGGTGTGTGAATCACGGTTCTGACACAGATGCAGGTGTGTGAATCATGGTTCTGACACAGATGCAGGTGTGTGAATCATGGTTGTGACGTGGATGCAGCAATATGAAATCATGGTTGAGACGTGGATGCAGGTGTGTGAATCACGGTTCTGACACAGATGCAGGTGTGTGAATCATGGTTCTGACACAGATGCAGGTGTGTGAATCATGGTTTTGACATGGATGCAGCAATGTGAATCACTGTTTTGACATGGATGGAGCAATGGAAATCATGGTTGAGACGTGGATGCAGGTGTGTGAATCACAGTTCTGACACAGATGCAGGTGTGTGAATCATGGTTGTGACGTGGATGCAGGTGTGTGAATCATGGTTTTGACATGGATGCAGGTGTGTGAATCGCGGTTGTGATGTGGATGCAGCTGTGTGAATCATGGTTGTGACGTGGATGCAGGTGTGTGAATCATGGTTGTGACGTGGATGCAGGTGTGTGAATCATGGTTGTGACGTGGATGCAGGTGTGTGGATCATGGTTGTGACGTCGATGCAGGTGTGTGAATCATGGTTGTGACGTGGATGCAGGTGTGTGAATCATGGTTGTGACGTGGATGCAGGTGTGTGAATCATGGTTATGACATGGATGCAGGTGTGTGAATCATGGTTGTGACGTGGATGCAGCAATGTAAATCATGGTTATGACATGGATGCAGGTGTGTGAATCATGGTTGTGACATGGATGCAGCAATGTAAATGATGGTTTTGACATGGATGCAGGTGTGTGAATCATGGTTGTGACATGGATGCATGTATTTGAATCATGGTTATGACATGGGTGCATGTATGTGAATCATGGTTGTGATGTGCATGCAGGTGTGTGAATCATGGCTGTGGCGTGGATGCAGGTGTGTGAATCATGGTTGTGACGTGGATGCAGCAATGTGAATCATGGTTGTGACTTGGATGCAGGTGTGTGAATCATGATTGTGACGTGGATGCAGGTGTGTGAATCATGGTTGTGACATTTGATAATCAGAAGAAATCTCTGCTAAAAGGAGAGCCCATTGTACAATTCCAACCATATCATAACAGAAATACCTCAGATAGTTCCCGACTGGAGAACCCACTGTCCTTTACATTAGGTGACACTGTCATGCTGATGCCAAAATACATATTCTCACAATGCAACAGTATTTTTTGCGTCAATATTATTCCATGTTAGAAATACAATCCTGTGACCCACAGATAAGGTTCATTCCCTCTTATACATATATTTATAAGCAATGCTGTCATGGATAATGTAGTTATGTAACTCATATATACGTTTGTAATGGGTAAAGTAACTTTTATTTATGCAAATGATAGTCATGGACTGTTTTTTGCAAATCATTAGAACTGCAGTTCACTGGGGCATGTGTCTGTATGTAATGTACATATTGACTGATATAATCTGTCTTGCCAGCAAGTTTGTCGTCAAATAATGTATATTGGGCAGGTTGTCTGTGCCACTAAAGAAATAGACATGAGAAATTTCATGCTGTGGCTTTGCATGTGTTTGTGATGGATGCCACTTGTGGGACAGGATATGCTCACCTTTTCATCGCTATTTGATTGTACTTCATTGCGCTTTAGTTGGAATCATACAATGACCTACTTTTAGTAGAGATTTCTTTTGAAAATCGATTTTTGTCACTTTTTATTATTAACTATGTAGACACTCTTGAATACAAAATTGTTCGATGAACAAATTTTAAACTTTCATCATGTACCAATTCCTCTTCTTTCAATTATTTGATGCGCACAATGCTGTATATGAGAATGAGAACATGTTATATGTGTTCATGCAGGTTTTACTGATGTCATCATACTAAGTTTTGCTTTAAAAGATGTACTGTCTTCGACATAATAAGCGCCCAGGGCGCTCTCAAAATTAGAAATAGTTTTTTTTTTATAAGAATAAAATTTTGGGGAAAAAAAATCAAAGTTGAAAGATCGTAAACTTCGTGGTTTATGCTGACAGCCTGAAATGATACAAAAGAAAAGTCTGTGTGTATTATACACGACAGATATATTTTTCCAGAATTTAATTTCCACAACACACGAGTGCGTATTATACACGAATAAATAAGTCTTGTGTACACTGATCAGTCGGAAGGAATTGGAATTGTTCACTATCCAATATATTAGCAAAAATTGCCATGGGCGCTTATTAGAGCGGGGCGCTTATTACGTCGAATACGGTATTAGGAATCCTGTCTTAAATGTAACTCATATGTTCGGAAATAAAACATCAATGTCAGAGGCTTAAAAAACCTGTCAAAAGGGTGTGGGAGGCAAAATAGTGATGAAAGTTCTATAAGACTTCTGTAATAACTGTGCATCACAAATAGAATATTTTTATAATTGTGAATTTTACATTTGGAATAATTTTGTTACTGTGAATCATATATTTGGAATGTTGTGTTAAATCTGTGAATTCGGTTATAAATTTTTGTGAATCATGTGTTGAGAGAACTGTTTTATTATGAATCATGTTTCATGAACCATAGTTACAATTTTGAATCACGTGTAAAGGTAAAGAATATAGACATGTGTTTTGTGAATCATCTCTTCATAGATGATGCTTTCCTGTAAACTACTCATCCAGGGATCATTGTCCCTACAGCGAATCATTGTTTACATAATCATCTTCGATATTCACACAGTACTGTCCTGTGAATCATGTGAAATATAGGAACTCCATTCACAAACAACACAACCACCAATAGTGAAAAATAGGCTTTATTCCTCCCTGCTATGCTATATATCCCTAACTGCCTGCTGTGTCAGCACTCTTGGATAAATGAGACAGTTAATCAGATAAACCGGCTTGTACAAAAAACACCGTTGCTCATCACCCAAGGAAGCAAGACTGCTGAATCATACAAGCAATCAACAGTCACAACTAAAGTACACAAAATCATCTATTTTACAAACGATGTGTGTGAGCAATGGTGGCAAGATGTCTGCAAGGATGATAGAAAATATCAATCATGTGACAAAACCAATGAAATAGACAATATGCTAATAGCATGCATACAAATGCACTATATCACCGGTGTATACATACATGTATATATGCTATATTCTATATATGCTATACTCTATATATGCAATATGGCAAGATGCACAATACAATACCTGTTTTCGTTACTATATTTTGCGCTGCTTAAATAATGAGTTTATAGGAAAGTAATATCAAGTATAAAGGGCTGTGTTACATCTCACATACATTTGTTTGTTAAACTGGTCACCTGTAACAAATACTTCTAGATTTTAAATGAGCTAACGGCACTGAAATATGCTGTGCAGAATTGCTTCCCTTACTTGCACCAGGATACTCTGGTTCAAATCAGATATGCATTCATACTTGGCTCCATGGTGATCAGCACCATCACTACTGAGGTAGTCTCCTATCTAGTTGCTTCAGCGGACACGCCATGACATGACGTAATTATGTACACAGCGACATTAGACACAACTCACTTCTATATCTTAAATCATGCTTACACAGAGTCACTAAACAATACTGTATTCGACATAATAAGCACCCAGGTAACTCTCAAAATTAGAAATAGGGGGTTCTTATTAGAATATTATTTGGTGAAAAAAAACAGAGTTGAAAGATAATTTTCGTGGTTTATGGTGACAGCCTGAAATGTTTATAAACGACAGATATATTTTTCCACAATTTAATTGCCCATAATTAAGGGTACATTTAGCACATAAGTGCGAATAAATAAATCTTGTGTACATTGATCAATTGGAAGGGGGATTGTTCACTAGCCAATATATTAGCAAATATCGCCGTGGGCGCTTATTACAGTGGGGCGCTTATCACGTCGAATATGGTACAGTCAACATCCAAATGTACTGTTAGTGACAACAGGTGCAATGCTAGGGTTATGGATAGGTGTGCAAGGAGGTTGTACAGTTAGGCAAGGCATTCTGACACTGCCTGTTAATCAAGAGAAACAAAGCAAAATTTTAAGAAAACTGAAACACTGTTTCCCTAACAACTGTAAATCTTTAAAAACATTACATAATTTAGGCATGACATCCTAATTTCATCAGCCAACGGCAAATGGTAATGTAAATGCAAAACCTTCTAGCACCTAAACAGACAGGTAGGGTTGCTGAGAATATCCTGTGTCAACACTGATCCATTGACCAGAGTAATAATTATGCAGCACCATAAGCGCGCATTAGGAGATGGACATACAGCAATGTAAATATGCATTTATTATATATTATTCTTCTTCTTATTTTTTATATATTATATTTTAGTAATTTAAAAAAATTAAAAGCCTAAAACAAATTAAAAAATCATTTCAAGTCTTTTTTTTTCTATTTGTAAATAAAATTGCCATATGAAGCAATAAAGCACACAATATATGATTTTCGGAATGATTATGATACGCAAAGGTAAAGAACCCTTGCCTTATATACTGGCCTGACAACATGATATGTGCAAATCAATGGGATAGCTTATATAAATATATTATTAAGAAATGAGAAACTACAGTACTCGATAATCTTGATGCTGTAATTAACCATTTAATTAACTAGGAAGTTAAAACAAAATGACTTAAGTAATGTTGGCTGTTGATAAATATCTGTCATAAGTTAGTATTTATATATTGTAAACATTTGAGGTAATCATTGTAATACAAGTATGCCATTTGAATCAAATCAAGTCACCATGGGCCATTTTATATTGATCATTCAGACACCTCTAGCACCATACATCACATATTAAAGGCACTTCTCTTGCTTGTGAAAGAAACAAATATACATTGATTCCATACTCCCATACAAGAAAATCAGGCCAAAGACATTATTGAAAACAAAAGACGAATGGCATACTGTCTAATAGACCTACGATCATGATGATATTGCAATGTTTGTTACTGTTGCAGTTCAAGATGAGATTTCAGGTGGGCTGAATCTCGCTCCTGACATTATGTTGTTATTGCTAGCTTAATGCTTGTGTAGCGGCCATAAAATTTCTGAATCCCGTGATGGGATTAGAACCACGGACCTTCTGATCCGAGGTCGGACGCGTTGTCCACATGACCAAAGAGGTTATCCTCGTCAGCAAGCTGACAAGGTAAGGATGTCATCTGTGAAATGACTCCACGCCCTGCTACACTTGCAGTTACGAGCATGCTAACACCACCCTCCTCTGAATCTTTACCATCTAAAATTGAGTCTCATTGGTCACCCCTGAGTCCCGAATACCACTTAACACAAATCTAAAAAGCATTGAGAAAAGGGTGCAATTTGAAGTTAAATTACTGAAAACATATATAAAAAAATATAAAGTACATTTTTATGTACATTTCTTTTTTAATGTTGAATCTGCATTCCAAATACAATTTTATGTGTATCCCATGTACCACAATGCTGAGTCCCGAATATCCCCCAAATACCCCCCGAATCCTGCATACCAAAGGGGGTTGGCATGACAAACACAGACAGTTTCGTTATCTCTGCATTGTCAGTACACATATGTAGTCACATCTTGGAAAATCTTCTTGTAAAACTTCAGCACATCTTTCAATATAACAGTACTTCTATGGTGCATTCATTTCACAAACAGGATGTAGGTCAGGCACAATGCATTCTGGGTAAATCTCAGCGTATCACAGACTGTCATGCTAGGATCAGTGGTATTACTTTGTTGTCATGATGACAGGGTTATCAAATGAGAAGCATAATTCTAAAAGTCCCAATTATTTTCTTGCTCCTGATTGCATATGCTTATGAATAAATTGTAAAAGAATTGTCAAATATGACAGTTGTGATATGTCAATAACAGTTAGGCTCATCAACTCAGATAAGTAATTTTAAAGTTGTTGAAGAAAGACACTGGTATGTTGCAAATACAACGAGCCAACAGATGAAAGATATTTATTGAAAGCAATAAAAGATCTAGACTTGAAAATTGTAGTAAATAAATGTCTGATAGCATCATCTGATTCAAGGTGCAAAGTAATTAGAGTTTACTATGAAGTGCAGGCTACACTAATTCACATGGTTCTCTAGATTCACAAGATTCATATGATTCTCTAGATTCATGATACTCTAGATTCACATGATTCTCTAGATTCGCAAGAATCTCCAGATTCTCAAGATTTATATCATTCTCAATATTCACAAGATTCTCAATATTCACAAGATTCTCTATATTCTCTAGATTCATGAGATTTTCTTGATTCTCAAGATTTGCAAGATTCTCTAGATTCACAAGATTCTCTTGATTCATAAGAATCTCTAGATTATCAAGATTCTCTAGATTCACATGATTCACAGTACAGTGTTAGTGCAAAGGTAAGTGCAGTGTCTGACAGCGTGGGGTTACATGGTACAGTTAATGGTCAAGAAAGACGGTGTTAGGTGAGGCAGGTGTCTTGCAGGTGTCAGGCAGGCAGGTGGTCAGGTGTCACAGGCATTCACAAGTGAGATGAGAAAATTACTTGGGAGTCTACCTCATCGGGGTTGGAGAACACGCTTCTCTTCCAAGGCTGCGCGTCTGAGGAGTTGGAGCTGGACTCAAGCCTCAGCATTGACGATGGTGTTCGGTCAAGAGACTCGTAAGCATTGTTCTGGAAGGCTACAGGAGGTTTTGTGTCTCGGTAGATGCGGTCATTGACCAACTCCTTGCCACCACGGCGTGACCTGCAACCAAGGTAATGGTGAGAGGAGTGAAGGAGTGAGTTAGGTTCAAGGCCACTGTGTCCATCACATCTTATCAGCTTTATGCCTGACCCCCATGAAGACCAGGGTTAGAATCGGTGTTCAGCAACCTGATCTAACCGGATCAGGGGGTCAGGCTCGCTGACTTGGTAGATGTATGTCACTGTATCCCTTATTATTAATCACTGGATTGTCTGGTCTGGACTCAATTTTTAAGAGACCCAGTCATATAGCTAGAATATTGCTAAGTGCAGCATTAATCAAACAAACAAATAAACTTAATGCCAGAGGAAAACCTGAAGTGAAGCATGATCATACAATCCTTCCACTTGTAAGGGATGCAACTCTGCACAGTCGATTACAGTGCAGTGACTACTGGGCCACCCTACAATCTCACCTATGGTGAAAACAGGCAAAGGATCATAGTTTGGGCAAATCTGGTATTTGAACCATGACCAAGAGATCCTGGTAAGGCTAAGGGACACAATTCATTATCGTAAAAAGTGCACCTTACCCCACTGGTCAACCCATGACCCTAAAGTGATTAAATCATAAATGTATGTAATTAAATCCATGTACAGAAAATCACAATTCCAACTGAAGCATTCTTATTAGATTCTTAGACTGTGTTTTTTGGGACAGTGCGTCGACAGTTCTGGGTGTTCAAATTATGCATGAAATAATTTCCATGTGTGATGTCACATGCCATAAATTCCTTCATTAGAGGCAAATTGAAGAGAAAACTTTATTTCTTACGGTTGAGTTACAAAAGACTAATTGACAGCTTGATTAGATTAAAAGCCATAGTGATTACAACATAAATATACCTCGGTCATATGACGCCAATCACTCTCCTACCCAGAGTTCCTTGCGTCCAGCCTAGTACCTCTGTCACACTGTCACACAGTCCATTCATGTTTTTTTCATCTGTTTCATTTTGACGAGTCTATACAATTAGATAAACTTAACAGTCATTGAGAAAATTTGACGTGTAAAGCTATTTTGTCATGATGCCATATTGTTTGTTGTAGTAATATATCTTTATAATTAGACAATATGTAAAGCACGACGAAAGGCTTGCATTAGACCAGTCTGTTTAAACACACAAGAGAAAAGTCCAGTCACATGATACGCCTTCACTTGCAGTGGGGTCTTATGGAATTAGGCAAGCAAAGCCGATAAGCTCAGGTGTTATCGGCTACTGTTTACAAACAATGCTTCAGAACGGTCGACATACTGTCCCTGTAACTTCAGAACTGACAAACGGGCCAATCATTTTCCCTCCAATGACTTCTCTACCATATAGACTTTAACCATAAAGTACCTGTAGAAGCACACAGCCACCACCACCAGCAGAAGGACCAGTGCCACTGTGGCTCCAGCTATCCCCCCAATCATGGCATCGGTCAGCCCCGACAGACCTGAAACAAGGGAGGCAATCAGTCAGTACAGTTAGACAGTTGTCTTACAGTGGTAATATTGAATATGTGGCCTTTCTCAAAATAAAGAAACACAGCCTTTCACAGCAGACAGATATTTTACCCCAGGAGTGAGTGAGTGATTTGGGTTTAATGCAGCGTGAACAGTATTTCAGTCATATCACAGTATGCCAGCTGATGTGGAAGGAAAGACCAAAGTGATGTAGCTATTTCTTCTTTACCACTTTGGTGAAGCCCATGAGCATGGGTATGGTACTGGCAATCCGAGAAACATAATCAGGAAGATTAATCTGGGATTCGAACCCGTGGTCACAGAAGCCTTAGATGACTGGGCCACCAGGGCCCATTTGTACCCAAGATGCTTGTGTGTTTGTTGTGCCCTCTATACTTGGTTGTGTCCTCTATACTTGGTTGTGCCCTCTATACTTGGTTGTGCCCTCAACACTTGGTTGTGTCCTCTATACTTGGTTGTGCCCTCAACACTTGGTTGTGTCCTCTATACTTGGTTGTGCCCTCTATACTTGGTTGTGCCCTCAACACTTGGTTGTGTCCTCTATACTTGGTTGTGCCCTCTACACTTGGTTGTGTCCTCAACACTTGGTTGTGTCCTCTTTACTTGGTTGTGCCCTCAACACTTGGTTGTGTCCTCTATACTTGGTTGTGCCCTCTATACTTGGTTGTGCCCTCTATACTTGGTTGTGCCCTCAACACTTGGTTGTGTCCTCTATACTTGGTTGTGTCCTCTATACTTGGTTGTGCCCTCAACACTTGGTTGTGTCCTCTATACTTGGTTGTGCCCTCTATACTTGGTTGTGCCCTCTATACTTGGTTGTGTCCTCTATACTTGGTTGTGCCCTCAACACTTGGTTGTGTCCTCTATACTTGGTTGTGCCCTCTATACTTGGTTGTGCCCTCTATACTTGGTTGTGCCCTCAACACTTGGTTGTGTCCTCTATACTTGGTTGTGCCCTCTATACTTGGTTGTGCCCTCAACACTTGGTTGTGTCCTCTATACTTGGTTGTTCCCTCAACACTTGGTTGTGTCCTCTATACTTGGTTGTGCCCTCTATACTTGGTTGTGCCCTCTATACTTGGTTGTGCCCTCAACACTTGGTTGTGTCCTCTATACTTGGTTGTGCCCTCTATACTTGGTTGTGCCCTCTACACTTGGTTGTGCCCTCTATACTTGGTTGTGTCCTCTATACTTGGTTGTGCCCTCTATACTTGGTTGTGCCCTCTATACTTGGTTGTGCCCTCTATACTTGGTTGTGCCCTCAACACTTGGTTGTGTCCTCTATACTTGGTTGTGCCCTCTATACTTGGTTGTGTCCTCCATACTTGGTTGTGCCCTCTATACTTGGTTGTGCCCTCAACACTTGGTTGTGTCCTCTATACTTGGTTGTGCCCTCAACACTTGGTTGTGTCCTCTATACTTGGTTGTGCCCTCTATACTTGGTTGTGCCCTCTATACTTGGTTGTGCCCTCAACACTTGGTTGTGTCCTCAACACTTGGTTGTGTCCTCTATACTTGGTTGTGTCCTCTATACCCAGTTCTACCTCCTATGCGGGGCGGTCAGGTAGCCTAGTAGTCAAAGTGTTCGCTTGTCACGCCAAAGACCCGGATTTGGAGCCCATTTCTGGTGTCCCCCGCCATGATATTGCTGGAATATTGCTAAAAGCAGTGTAAAATCAAACTCACTCACTCTACCTTCTATGCCTATAGTTCTACCCTCACCTGACGTTTCCTGGCACTGGGTTCCGCTATAGCCATCATTGCAGATACAGAATACTGCCTCCTGGTTGTCCTTGTGGCATGTGCCATGGTCGCCACAGTAACCCTCACAGTCGTCTAGGCAACAGAAACATACATATGAACAGAACTTTTACCAAACAAATGCTTAATATCATCTGTATCTATGGAAAATGAGAAAATAAACTCTAAATGCAAACATTATTCAAATACTTTGAACAGTATTTCAGTTATATCATGGCACCTCAGCTCAACGTGAGAGGAAAGCCAAACGTGACACAGTCACAGGCATTTACCACTATGTAGGTGAATTAAACCAGGAAATCATGGCTTCATACTCATGATCACTTATTATTTGCCTTTATTAGGGCTGGGACGAGTCCAAATTTACTACCCAGGTACCCACCACCCTATTACCCGACCCTACCCGGGTACCCACTGTAGATATTTAGAGATAGGTACAAACTGTCCAATTTGGAAAAGTTTGACCTTAGCCCTGGCAAAATGTATTTAGATACATGTGTAAAACGAACTGGTCATGCATACACTGAAGTTTACTGCATGATGTGTTATCTTCATTCAAACATATAAAAGTCAGAATGAATTAGTGCATTGTCAGAAAGAAATGGGAACATTTGTGACTTATAGTGTAACCACAGAGTTTTAGATAATTTTTGTCAATACACAATATATCACGTGACTATAACTACGGGTTCGGATAGTCATGTGGGTACCCGGGTCCTTCTCAGGACCCACCTGACCCGAGTACCTGAGTTACCCATCCCAGCCTTAGCCTTTACGGTTTGTTTGTTTGTTGTTTAGCGCAACACACAGCAATATGTTCACTCAAGTTTTATTCTGCTCAAACACCACCACCACACAATAACAAACATCGCATACCACATGCTTTTCCACAACAACTCCCAAGAGTAAAGGTTTCTACATTCGGGCAAAATATCAATGTTTCCGGTAACTTTGAAAAGTTGGATTGGAAATTATATGAATAAAGACCATGCATATAGTTCGCACAATATTCCATTCACATGACAGTGGCCTATACATAATTGAGTATGGACCAGACAATCAAGTGATCTATATTATGAGCAGCGTTGCACACCATCAAGGTACGATGACATGCTATCAACCAAATGACCAAGCCTGACCACCCAATTCATTTGGTCGCCTCGTACAATAAGCATTGGTTGCTGAGGCCCTATTCTAACCCGGAGTCCCTATTGAATCTTAGAAGCGTTGAACTATGCACAGCAAACTGCTGCACAATAGGCTACTAAGCCACCTGTTAACCCCTTATTCAAACAATAAACACACGTTCCAATCCGGTATGATTTTACAAAGGATTTGACCAAATCTATAATGTGTACATGCTTACCAACACAGTATGTTCCATTGCCATGGAAACCCTTCTTACAGGTGCAGTTGAATCCCTCTAGTATGTCCTCACAGAGGGCATTACTGTCACAGTTGTCGGTGTTGAGTTCACACTCGTTGACGGGTCCAGGGTAACATCGGTCCTCGGACACCTCACCCACACCAGGCGTGGTCAGACCCGGCCCACACGGAATACAGGAAGTGGCTCCACGCTTGGGTTGGTAGGTACCCTTCGGACATGACTGACACTCATTGTCTTCTGTGCGATACTCGCCTCTTGAACATTCAACTGAAAATACATTATCAGTTCATGAATGGGATGGTTGGTTAGCCAAGTGGTTCAAGTGTTTGTTAATCATGCTGAAGAAGGTTTAAGTTATCCTTACTTCTACCGTAGTGAGGATATGCAAGTGTTATAATGAACAAGTCTATTTCTCATTTACTGGAACACATCTGATAGCTTTCTGAACAAGTTTGTTAGTTATGCAAACCCATGTGCCACTTTTCACACAACAAATGTGTGTATGAATACATCAATCTGTCAATAGCCTTTGTTATATAGCATTCAAAAATTACAGTACATATCAAGAAATATTTCCCCAACAGCAGCGCATATTTCCTCACCAACAGAGCAGTCAGTACTGGAGGTGGACGCCTCTTTCTCCGTGGTCCAGCCATACGGACACAGCTGACAGAAGTCAGTCAAGAAGGACTCTCGGAAGGACCCGATGGGACATGGCTGACATTTACCCGTTACTCCCAACTCCTCACCAAGCCGACACAGATCTGGAACAAAGTGTGTGAAGTGGGAATGTTTCATTCAGCACAATTAAAGTTCCAAAGGATGTTATCATGTCATTAACCGATCCACGTATTGTTTCATGGTGTTGTCATGGTGATGATCTGATGTTGTCATGGTGGTTTCATAGCATTGTCATCATGTTTTGACAGGGTGTCGTGGTGGTTTCATGATGTTGTCATGATGACATTGTGGTTTCATGGTGTTGTCATGGTGGTTTCAATGTGTGTGTCATGGTGTTACAATGGTTTCATGGTGTTACAATGGTTTAATAGTGTCATGGCGGTTTCATGGTGTAGTCGTGGTGGTACGATGGTTTCATGGTGTTACAATTGTTTCATAGTGTTGTGGTGGTTTCATGGTGTTGTCATGGTATTGCGATGGTTTGTCATGGTGTTATGATGGTTTCATGGTGTTACGAAGGTTTCATGGTGTTGCGGTGGTTTCATGGTGTTGTCATGGTGTTACCGTGGTTTCATGGTGTTGTCATGGTGTTACGATGGTTTCATGATGTTGTCATCATGGTTTCATGACTTGAACATGATGGTGATACTGTCCTTTTTATGCTTGAGACACTGATTTGAAAAACTCCAAAGAAAGCATGACAAGATTAACTAATAGAGAAGCCTGAAAACAATGATAGATAGATCTCTCTATAATTTGTGTATCTTTGGAGTTTTTCATTTCAATTTTCTGTAATTTAAATATTGTTCAAATCAGTGTCAGGACAGTATCACCATCATGTTCACCGGAAGAGCAAAAGCTATGACTCACAAGCACAGTCCTCTGGGTCGATTGTTCCCGTTGCCTCGGTGGACTGCCCCGGGGGACACGACTTGCACGATGTCTGTCCAGCCTCATTCTGATACTCTCCTAGGGGGCAGAGTTCGCAGCGACCAGCCACAGAGTGATAGAAATGACCAGCACGGCACACAGCTGTGGAAGAAAAAGATGAAGACGTAGGTGTAGACGATGTAGATGTTCACAATGAACAGGACCCCTTTCCACAAAGTGATCTCAGCACTACGACTATCATAAGTCACCATTAGGGTACTGGAGTTCAGATAGTGTTAGCCTGGAGATTGCTTTCTGAACTGAGCCCTGTACAGACAGGCATCAAATTATTTCTTTCCAAACTCACTTTTTTTCTAATGATAAAAATCTCCTTGACAACCTGAAGTGCTGTTTCAAAGGATTTAATCAAAATCAGGACATTTTTTGAAGCATGAAAAAAGTGAAAAGGCCAAAAACAATAATGCTATTCATGAACGGTTTGACTCATTGTACATGTTCAAAGTGATTCTCAATTCAAACTTGAACTGTAAACTCACAATAGCATTATTCTGGATCACACAAGGATCAAACATTTGATATCTTACACTTGCACTCATACTTGTCTTTACCCAGACGATCATATTTGTGTTTTGTTGAAGATAATCATATTGTAAATGACAAACCAGTTTGTCGGATAGTGAATGCTTGTCTGTTTCTGTCTGTAACACCAGAAGTCCAGTGTCATCGATCCCATTTTCGTGGATCGATGCTCATGATGTCAATCACTGGATTGTCTGGTCCAGACTCGATTATTTACAGACTGCCATCATATAACTGGAATATTGCTGAGTGCGGCATTAAACAACAAACAAACAACAAAACTATTCTGATGTTTATCCTTTTGTTACTTTTGTTCGTTAGTCTAGAATATTCTGGACTGGCAACATTTTATCTGGTCTGGTAACTTTGCAAAGTTGCGAGTCCGGTTGTTTGACTGAAATTTTGGGGAATTTTATACACTTGTAGTCCAGTGATTATTAAATCTCACCAAAGCACTGTGAGGAGTTGACAGCTCCGGGGGCACCTGTTGTGTGGTCAGGGGAACAGGCTGTACACTCAGTCTGTCTGTCAGCGCCGTTGTACGTTCCCTCCAGGCATATCTCACAGTCACCGGTCGTCTCATTCAGGAAATATCCCATTGGGCAGTCCACTGAAACAATCACGTCATACTCATCATTGTACTAACTCAAGACATCGACTCTCAGTTCAACACATTGGAATTCAACTCAAGACAGCTGAACACATCGTAACCTGGCTCAACACTCCGTAACTTGGCTTAACACATTGTAACCCAGCTCATCGCAGTTTGTAACTAGGCTCAACACATCGTAACCCAGCTCATCACAATTTGTAACTAGGCTCAACACATCGTAACTCAGCTCAACACATCATAACCCAGCTCATCGCAGTTTGTAACTAGGCTCAACACATCGTAACTTAGCTCAACACATCGTAACTCAGCTCAACACATCGTAACCCAGCTCATCGCAATTTGTAACTAGGCTCAACACATCGTAACTCAGCTCAACACATCGTAACCTGGCTCAACACATCGTAACTAGGCTCAACACATCCTAACTCAGCTCAACACATCATTACCCAGCTCATCACATTTTGTAACTAGGCTCAACATATCATAACTCAGCTCAACACATCGTAACTAGGTGGAACACATTGTAACTTTGTTCAACACAACGTAATTCAGCTCAACACATGTTAACTCTGCTAAGCACATTGTAACTTGGCTTAGCACATCGTAACTCAGCTCTACACATTGTAACTTGGCTTAACACAGTTCAAAACATCTGCAGAATGTCTATCTTTATTCATCTTCCATATAAGCAAATTAAACCTACATCCTACAGCTTAGTGCGAGCTTTCATTGGACCTTTTGACACAAATCTAATCTGTTTCAATTCAGGTTGAACCTGGCATTATATAATAAACATGATTGGTGCACCTCCCTTCTAGTCACCACAACACTAAAATACAAGTGGGTTTACTGCTGGTCATGTAGACTACCATACACAAATGAGTTACACATACAGCAGACTTTCTTGGTCTGGTTGATGGTGGTGAGACTCTGTCCGGCCAGGCACTGCAGCTCCACATTCACGTTCAGCGTCGTCACGTCAGCCGTGAAGTTCATGAAGTTGAAATCGCCCCGCTTCACTGTGTTCTCCAGCTCCTCAGCGATGTAGGTGTCTCCCTCATTCTCCAGGGCATTGCTGGAAGTCAACAGCAGGTACTCACTGGACTATTCAGTGTTTATCATGTGCCAAGCGTAATGTATGGTATTGGATTTCAGAATCCCATTAGATGTCACATGTCATTAGATGTCATGTGTGTGTGTGTGTGTGTGTGTGTGTGTGTGTGTGTGTGAGAGAGAGAGTGAGAGAAGAAAAAGTGGGAGTGCAGGTGTGAGTTTCAGCATGAATGAGTTTCAGCATGAACGTGAGTTTCAGCATGAATGTGTTTCAGCGTGAATGTGAGTTTCAGCATGAATGTGAGTTTCAGCGTGAGTGTGAGTTTCACCATGAATGTGAGTTTCAGCGTGAATGTGAGTTTCAGCATGAGTGTGAGTGTTGGTGTGAATATGGATGTCAGATTCAGGAAGAGCGTGTGTGTGAGTGTCACTTTCAGATCCATATCCCATTCTAAGATTCAAATTCTAGGTAAGATACCAGCAACCATCTGATCATATAATTGCCCTCTCACCCATTGGCTGACAGATTAACCGCGAAGGAGACGTGGAAGACAACACCGGAGGTGTCTCTCCTCCTCCTCCTGCTGCCACACTCCACGTTGATGTTGTCATATGAGCACTCCTTAGGCGTACAAAGCCCAATACGCTCATCCAGCTGACGCATGATGGCGATGAATCGGTCTCGCAGCTGAGTCTTGAAATCCTCGGTACATTGAGGGCCGCTGAAGTCCACCCCTCCTCCTAGGATGCTGGATGCTGGTGGGTATGGCACTGAAATAAAAGCACATCGTGTATAGTTGAACGAAGACGAAGCTCCCATCTGGTGCCCATCTGAAGTCCAGGTTCAGAAGATCCCATCTGTGCCATGTGTATAACTGAAATTTATCATCCCAAACTGGCATCCACAAGATATATTGCTTCTCCTCCTAGAATATATCACTGCAAGACCATTGTGACATCATCGGTTACCATGACATCACAATCAAATGACAAACACTAATCTCTCTGCCACTGAAGCTGGTTAAATGTACTTTTTACAGTTTAGACACAGGCTTATTACTGAAACAGTTGGCAGAATGATGTTGGCTGATAAATAGAATCTTACCCTCTTGTCCTTTGTCATCAGAGTTTTAAACTGTTATCGACTGGTAATGATATATTTGATATCAAACAAAACTCAGAGGATGTCTTCTATACAGTCAAGTCCCGTTAATCCGACATGGTTGGTTGCATATGATTATGTCAGATTAATGATTACGTCGGATAATCGAAATTAAGTAGTGTCAATGCTGTGTACTTACGGGCAGCTGACCACGGAGCACGCTGATCACTGTGTCAGATTAACAAGACTGATTAATGAGTGATTTCGGTAATTCGTTTGGGTGTGTCAGGGTGCGAGACTGTTGGATTAATGGGTCTAAATAGCATTTATTTAATCGGATTTGCCAATTTCGGATTAACAAGTGTTGGATTAACGAACTTGACTGTATATGTTATTGTCATACTCTGTTTCACAGATTGTTATATGTCATCAAATCAAAGTATAACAAACATACAAAGCGATGTTTAACACTTACTAGGACTTCATTGTCCTGGCTGAATTTCATGTATGCACTCCAATTGAATCAGAGCTAACATGATATATTCTCTTTGGTATCAAGGTTTCCCCTTATTGGTAAAGTTAATTTCGAATCAAATTTTACAGCAATTAAATAAAAATGACATTCCAGAAGCATAGGAAGGTCATTATCAAAATATACTACTCAAAATTAGTTAAACAACACCCAATTCTTTCATATTATTATAGTTAATCAGTCATGTCATATCATGATTATTTCATATTAACTATAGTAATATGAAAGAATCGGGTTTTCTTTAACTTCTTTTGAGTAGTATACATTTTTTTAATATCATTCTCAAAGGAAATACAGTAGTATAAACTGTACATGTCTACTACAGCATCAGACCTACTTGCACATGATGGGAACAGAAAGGGGCTGCCTCGCGGGGGGTCCCAGAATCCTTCATTTCCACAGCGGTAAAACGGGGGTGGAAATTCCACAAACTCATAGTTGGGGAAGCATGCGATGGAGCAGTAGTGTCCATGTTGCCACGCCCGACACGCCTTGCCACCATTCAGAGGGGCAGGAGGCTCAATGCAGTCAAAGGCTGAAATATATAAGAAATAAGATACAGTAAACCACGTTTATAACGAACACCCTTATAATGAACTGACAGATATAACAAACTGTTTTGGGGTCCCGTCCATTTGCTGTATATATGCTGTATGTATGCTTATAACGAACTACGGTTATAACAAATTAAAAGAAGTGATCCCTTTGAGTTTGTTATATTCGTAGTTTACTGTACCATAAACATTTTGGTTTGACTCATGTTATGCCAGACTTGTGCTTAGAGAACAAAGATGAAAAATAAACTTTTCTTGTTGGAGGAGAACAGGATGATACTCACGCTTGACTATGATGTCAAATTCACATTCTGCTGAGTTGTTCTCGGCATCGTAGGCGACATAGCTGACGATGTACTCCCCATAGGCGAAGGTCTGACCTGCATAACATGTCTCATATGTTAAACGTCAGTTGATGTTGTGCAGATATTGTCTACAAGGTGAGGTGAAATGAGGTTAAATGTCACATTAAAGATTCGTGTTAAAGACATTATTTCTGCATTCCGCACTTGGAACACAAAGATTGTCTCTTAATATGGTACCTTGTTGGTGCCTTGTTACTCAAAAATCTCCTATAACTCATCTTCCACTTGGCCACAAAGTCCAACTTTACCTGATCGGTGTGTCTGTTCAATGTTGACAACACCAACATCGTCTGTGAAAACAGGTTCCTCCCACTCCACCACGCTGAGACGGTTGTCGCTGTTGACCACTAGGATGTCCTCTGGGCAGTACTCCACCTCTGGGGGATACTTGTCTGCAACACAAGGGAGACAGTCAGTCGCAGTCTAGGGTGCTGTCAGCACAGACACAGCATCATTGGAGGAGACAGCCTGAATGGGCCAAAACTGAATCTATGTCTAGAGTTTGTTTGGTTTTTGTTTGACGTCAAACTTACCAATATTCAAGCTATTTGACAGCGGTCTGTAAATAATCAAATCTGGGCCAGACAATCCAGTGATTGTCATCATGATGATTTATCTAAGCAACTGGCATACAATGACATGCATCAAGCAAGTCACTCACTCAATAATAGAGACAATATTTTTGACATATTTACCAATTTTGATGTCACAGTAGGTCCCTCGGTAACCTGGAGGGCACTCAGACTCCCCACACAGTCCTGGTGCCACGATGATGACGTCGTTCCGGATGTAGTCACCAAAGATGACCCAGTTGTAGATGTCACCGGCCAGCCGGAGACCGCTACAGTTGGCAGCCATCGACTGGATGAAGGAGTTGTTGAGGACAGAGCTGTAGACGTTCACCTGGCTCACCTCCCCCCGGAACTGGTGGTCGTCATCATCAGCCTCGAACTTCTGACCAGCGACCACTTGAAGCCTGGACAAGTGATGTACATAGAGCACACATGCTCACACCAAATTGAGTCCTAATGATTCCACATACAGTAGAACCCTCTTTATCTGGACAGTTCTTTAACACATTTCTAGATTAATAAGCATAAAACAAAACTGTGAAGTTCTGAAAAAAGTGTTTATTATGGTATATCATAATTTATCATATTATCAGTTTGTAAAATTACGACTGGGTTGCAGGAACAGAACTAATTTCGATGATGAGAAAATATGTTACCATTGTGGGAGTTTTCTGCTGTTGCCGTAGGAACCCCCACTCTCTCGCAGCTCCCCATCCTTCCACAAGTTCCACTCCCCGGACGTCCACCAGAAACATACATGGTGCCACTGACCATCATTGCTGGCAAGGTCAACTTCCACAGTGTCAAGGTCATTGAAGAGGTCAATGGTTGCCTGGTTACCAGATAATTCCACCATTGCTCTGGCTCCTTCATCACCAGCTTCTTCATTTTGTCTGAAAGAAAACATCTTTTGATTAAAGATAGATATCTTTGATTAGCATCTTTATATAAAAATACATAAACTATAGTCATTTTGTTTCTATGATACAAAAAGGTGGACAATGGCTATGTCAGACATCTGAAATCTGATTATCAGTTGAAATAGTAATAGTTATATTTATAACATCTATTAAATGCAAAATATCCTTTTCAACATATACTTTTGTTATTCCTGAAACAAAAAATCAACACTTGTTTATGGATGAACAGAAAGACGGATGTCATTCTTGAAAACAAATCAGCATTTGTTTATGGATGAACAGAAAGACAGATATGATTTGTTTCTTTGTTGGTTTATGCCAGACTCAGCAATATTCCAGCTCGTTGGGATTGACGAGACAAACTAATGATTGACATTATGAACAAAGTCCCATGGGTTCGGGGTACGATGACATGCGATCAACACAGCCACTGAACCTGACCACCTGATCCATATACTCGCCTGTTGCAACAAACATAGATTGCTCAGGACCTATTCAAACTCAGACCCACACAGATAAGAATATGTTACAGGCCACATACTTGTTAATCTCCATCAAAGAAAGGAAAGTGCCATTGCCGCCAAGTTCCCCAAACCTGACCCAGACACAGAGAGTAAGTTCAGTCAGATTGGTGCCAACATAAACTGGAGGTGGCTCACACACGGATCCATTCCGACCTTGGCACTGAAGGTCATAGTCATCTGACTTCTCTGAAGATGCAACAGAAACCACATTACTGTATACTTGGGGACATAGATCATGTCTCATTTTGTTTTTACAAAAATTCATTCTGATAAAAATCATAAGAAAAATAAATTTACTCAACTATCGTATTAAGGCTGAGGTGAAATTTGACTGTAGGATGTCCATGTTATTGAAATACTCGTGAATATTATCTGATGCCACTTTTAGCATTATTACAGTAATATCTAAGCAAAGGATACCAGAAAATGCTATTCATAATGTGATCTCATAATGTGATCAAATAAATAAATAAATAAATAAATAAATATAAATAAATAAATAAATAAATAAATAAATAAATAAATAAATAAATAAATAAATAAATAAATAAATAAATAAATAAATAAATAAATATTGTCTTACGCCACTTTTAGCAATATTGCAGCAATATACCAGAAAATGCTATAATTATAATGTGATCAAATAAATAAATAAATAAATAAATAAATAAATAAATAAATAAATAAATAAACTCTTTATAGAATATCTGTAGCAATTTGTCAAAGAACTGACTGACCTTTTCCGCAGTCTTCCCCTCCAAACAGTGGTGGACAGACACAGGTGATGGCTCTCCATCCATCGACACAGGTAGCTCCGTTCAGACATGTGTTGTTGAAGGCGCAGTCATCTATGGTCGTCTCACACAGCTGCCCCTCAAACTCCTCGGGGCATTCACACTCGAATGTACCAATACCGTCCACACACGTCGCCCCGTTCTCACATGGCCGGACAGCACATTCGTCAATCTCAGTCTCACACGCCTTGCCCGTGTAACCTGGCAGTTACAAAACATTGTCGTCACAAGGACATTTTCACATTTAAAGATACCTTAAGATGAAAGGGAAAATTAGGAGATAATATTACAGGTTAGGTTTTTGAGTACATGTATTTGATGACTGGAAATTCCATTTGATTGATTGATTGATTGATTGATTGATTGATTGATTGATTGATTGATTTTATAACTTCAATTTCAACTATGTTATAGTATGACACATACAAAGTTAGTGAGTGGAAGGTGTTTTATGTCAGCACACTTTTTGAAGCATACTTATCATTTTATCACATAAAATACATAATTAAATCATTTAGTTTTCAAAACAAATTACAATTACTGAACTAATTATTTGCTGACAAACAGACATTCTTTCCTGAATTACATGCTGACATTGTATTTTAACAAAAAGCTGTATCCATGCTTGCAACCTACACTGCTGAAATATAGTTAGGGACCACCCGACATGCCATGACTGATTAACTATAGTAATATGAAAGAATAGGTTGTTTTTTTAACTTTTTTTCAGTAGTATATTAACAACCCATTCGAATAATCTGCTGATATACTGTCATATAGATGTGTGACTTCAGATTAGATTCAAAGTTGAACGACCTTGACACTCACCTCTAACACAGTCACACTGATAGTCATTGACGAGATCCCCACACGTTCCTTCATTATGACAGGGCATGCTGGCACAGTCGTCAACATCAGTCTCACACTGGGTGCCGTTAAAACCAGGTAAACAGCTGAAATAAACACAACATAATAAACACAACATACATACAGTAGGGACACATTTATCACTGAAGTATGTGCAGGCATTATCTTTTTGTTAAATTTGATCATGGTTAAAGATTTGAAATTAACTTAATTATGAAAATGTAGTTTTACAGGGGCTGGTCGGCTTGGAATCAGTATACTGTGTCTGAGTGGGGTATTCATGTTAAACTGCTATCACTATAAATCAGCATCAGTCCGGACTAGTACACACGCAGCTATATAAGTGTATTAAACCCCATTTCACCTCACCTTACCTTCTTTTTATTTCAATTTATATATCAGTTTTCTGGTACTATCAGAACTAAATCTTAACAAAATCTTGAAATAAGCTGCAGAGGTGAGTACCTGCATGTAAATCCATCGATGATGTCGTTACAGGTGCCACCATTCTGACAGGGCCTGGAGTCGCACTCGTTGATGTTGACTTCACAGTTGCGGCCAAGGAACCCAGATGAACAGTTGCAGGTGTAGTTGTAGACACCATCAATGCAGGTGGCGTTGTTCAGACAAGGCTTGGAGGCACAGTTGTCAATCTTTGTCTGATGAAAAAAAAAGAAAAGATTTTTTAATTCTGAGAGGCGGTGAGGATGGGAAGTGGTTGTGATAAGTGAATTCCCTAAGTGTGGACAATTTGTGAAGCCAACTCAATCACTCCAAAAAAATTAATATAAACATTTGTGAAAAACTGACATATGCCACTTTTACGGTCATGTCATTTCTCAGTGAAAACAAACACTTAATGTCAGCCCCAAGAGAGTTTCGACAGATTCCACTGAACATTCTAGTCTTGTGATTGTATTAAAAAGATTTTTTAGAATAAAGAAAATAAATCCAGAATTAGGTGGCAGACATATCATTCCTACTTCAACAAGGTGATTATAAATACAGAACAAATATGTATCCATATTATGCTGTATCTATGCTCTAAAGCATGCTCACAGTGCTACACAGTTATTACCAAGGTCACATGGATCACAGTGCACTCAAATAACATTCTCAGCTTCCTAGGAAGTATACAATCCCAGAATGTCTGCATTCATGTAACCATCTCATCATACCTGGTACCCATTTGCTGCCAGTGAAAATTGCCAATATTGAACAAATTCACTTGTCTAAGGGGACACAGTTTTTAATTATCACACGTATAGGTGTTGGCCAAAGCCCTAGAAACTCTTAAGTGTCAAGATTACCGATGACCTCCACCTACTCTCGGCTCAATTTCATGCATTTATGATCTGCGCAGTGTGCAAGGGACCACAGACCATCATAACGACAAGATTATATTTAAGCAGGAATGGCTGAAGGATTCCGAGTTTTGTTTGCGACATCGATACTGGCACATGACTGCAGTAACATTTGTACTCACTGAGCAGAGAGTTCCAGTGTAGTCTGGCGGGCAGGAACAAGTGAATGTGTCTCCATTTGGAACACAGGTGGCGCCACTAGCGCAGGGCTTGTCTGTCTGACAGGCATCTAACTGCGTCTCACAGAGAGTGCCTGGGAATACACATACTCATCAGCACTTTCTAGAGATGAATGATAATGATAATAACAACAATGATGATGATGATAATAGAGTTTAAAAAATAATATTAAAATAAAAATAGCAATAATAATTGAGAGCTAATAATGATAATACAAAGTTTTAAATGATAATATAAGAAATAATAGAGATCTAAAAATATTAGTAATATCCAAAGTAATTATAATAATAATGATAGAAAATAATAATGATAATACACATTTTAGGTAATGATACTACTACTACCACTACTTAACTACTACTACTACCATCATCATCATCATCATCATCATCATCATCATCATCATCCATGATCACATACATGCATATAAGAGTACAAAGGGTACGCATACACATCGATCAGATAGATCAAATATGAAAGAAAGATAAAAATAGATTTGTGTGTTAAAACAATTAACATTTCAACTCTACACATTCCAATATTCACCACCTCTTACCTGTGAACAGAGGCAGACAGTCACATGTGAACTCATTAACACCATCGACACATTCCAAGGTACCCTGTATGGAGCAGGGGTAGGGGTCACAGTCGTCTTTGTTGATCTCACAGTTTCGCCCGTCGTAACCTGCAATAATGACATTTGTAGGTGTCTCCTGTAAACATGACCTCATTAATATCAGGATTATTCATTTCTGAAAGCATCACTCAGCTTGATTAATTCATCAAATCTCTGAATGTTCTTTTACCAATTGGAAATTGTTCTTTATTCATACCTTTTTGTACTAAGTTTGTCATTACGGGGGTATCGACAATTACACGGTATATTAGGTGACATGTTTTTTCTTATGGATTAGTGAAAAGATTTGATTGATCAGAGCCAAAAAGCAAAAACAAAGAGTGAGTGAATATGGTTTTACGCCACTTTTAGCAATATTCCAGCAATATCACGGCGGGGGACACCAGAAATGGGCTTCACACATTGTACCCATGTCGGGAATCAAACCCGGGTCTTCGGCGTGATGAGTGAACGCTTTAACCACTAGGCTACCCGACCGCCCCTCAAAAACAAAGCTAAAATACTGATTATGTTTATTCTTCTTTTTAACCTACCCAAGCTGGGTGGTAAACAACAATGTGTACAATATAGAATATGAACAGTGTGGCCTTATAATAATATACTGAACAAAAAAAGTTAGTGATCCTGAATATTTTGAGGGATAATTTGTTGTATTTCATTAAAATATCCAATATCCAAAAAAATATTCACGATCCCTAACTTCATTTTTTCAGTATATATGAGCTGTTGAGCAGTATACAGTGTATATGAGATTTGCAATATTACTTGGAAGAGTTTACAGAGAGTGTAGAGGGATATTGTATCATACTGACCTGAGCTACAGTCACAGCGGTAGTCGTTTACGAGATCGTTGCAGGTGCCACCATTCTCACATGGCTTAGCTTCACACTCATCAATGTCAGTCTCACAGTTCACACCAGTGTAGCCAGGCTGCACAACAAGGGAGATAACTCTTTGTACACTATGCTGCTAACTGGGCACAAATCACCAACCAGTGGCCCAATTTTTACTACATCTACGACTTCTTCAAGTTGTTAGAACCACATCAAACTAAAACTCTACCACCTTCTATACCACGTATGACAAAAAAGAATTTCTTCAATGAGTGATGTCCGTATGTTCTAATGGACAATTTTTGCTCAGTAAGGAAAAAAACAAAAAACAAAATGTGACAAAAAGTGAGCAGGGCTCACTAATACCCCCAACTTCGACTCTAAGTTCAAAACATGAAAAAAGCAATATTTTCTCAGAAAATCCACTTATACAGTTAAACTTTGTACTGCACCTCTGCTATTGGTACAGAAACTGTACCCCAAATGGAAAAGAATCCATGAACTAGTTTTTAAGTTATAGGTTGCACAAATGTTGAAGTAAAAATATACTCAAAGTTATGACAAAACTCATAATTTTTCATATCAAAATTAAACTTTGCACCTCATCTCTTCTATTAGTATGGAAACTGTTCCCTAAATTTGAAAAGAATCCAGGGAACAGTTTTCTAGTTATAGGTTGCACAAATGTTTCATTCAAAAAAATTATAAGTAAAACAAATGAAAAAAGCTGTATTTTTACAGAAAATTCAGAAATCAACTTCTCACTGCACCTCTCATAGGTATAAAAAGTGTTCACCAAGTTTGAAAAGAATCTATGCTGTAGTTTTCCAGTAAAAGGTCACACACAAAATGTTCGGACGGAGGGACAGAATTTCTTGGTATTATTATATGCTCCTGCCCTTTTAGGTCGGGATATAAAGACTCATCACCATACCTAATGTCCTGTGGGAATTCCAGGTTGCAAGTGGTCCCCAGCAATCTATACAACCCATATGAGGCGACTACATGGATTGTGTGGTCACCACAATATCAATCACTGGTTTGTCTGGTCCAGACTTGATCTAATACAAGCTGTCCTCATATAGCTGGATTATTGTTGAGTGTGTTGGGAAACAAATACCGTATTCGACGTAATAAGCACCTAGGGTGCTCCCCAAAATTTAAAAAAGTGGGCTCTTATTAGAATATTGTTTCGGTAAGGAAAAAAACAGAGTGTAAAGATCAGTGGTTTATGCATGCTGACAGCCTAATATGATACAAAAGAAAAGTCTGTGCGTATTTTACACAATATAGATATTTTCCAAAATTTCAATGCCCATAATTAATGGCGCATATAAAACACGCATGCGTATTATAGTCGAATAAGTAAATCTTGTGTACACTGATCAATCAGAAGGGGTGCTAATTGGGATTGTTCACCAGCCAATATATTAGCAAATATCACCGTGGGCGCTTATTAGAGCAGGGTGCTTACGTCGAATATGGTAAACAAATAACAAACAATAGCACATGAGCAGCTCCTGATCCAGAGAGATAATGGTGAATGCCATGCCTGGATCAGTATGTACTCACCTGACAGATACAGTTGTAGTCAGCCGGGAGGTTCTCACATCGGCCATCGTTCTCACACGGGTGAGAGTTGCACTCGTTGATGTCCACCTCACACCGATTACCTTCATAACCTGAAGTAATGAGGAAAGTTGTAAAATCATATCATTAATGATTATGTAAATACATTATGAAAATATACTCTGAATGAAAGTTTTCCATAATAATAACTATAAGTATGGTAGACTTTTAGGGCCATTTGTCTTTTTTATTTTCTTCTTGAAATTTCAAGATGCTAAGTTGAAACGTCAAGGTACTAAGTTGAAATTTCAAGTTATAATCTTAACATTTCAACTCATTATCTTGAAATTACAAGATCATTATCTTGAAATTTCAACACAACATCTTGAAATTTCAAGTAAGTATCTTGAAATTTAAAGAAAAAACCAAATGGCCCTAAAAGGCTTCCTTATAGAAGCATCAAGGCCAGAAATTTGGTATAAATATTGTTCCCCATTTCTGCAAAATTTAGATCTAAGGTAGATCTAAGCTCATCCGTATAAACCTATCATGGTACTACCCAATATTGCATCAGGTTCCTGACAACCTCAGGGAAACCTAGTAACCAGCTCAACTTCCAAAGCAAGGTTTTGAAATGGGTCACTTCTTAACCTGCTTTGAGATTTTGCATTTCAATTTCAACCTAGGTTTTACAATTAACATTTTATAAACTTGCCTATTGATATGAACACAATTGTGTTTGATGATTGGTAAAAAGCCACAATTATTTTTACATGAAAGTTCCATGACCTGCAATCTCACATATTGTGTTAAGTTTTATAACCCAGTTTTCCCACTGAGAAGTTGCTAAGTTTTATATGTCATGAGTCCAGCTAGTTCATGCTGCACATGGTTTTTTTCTTTCACACGCTTTGATTGAATTCCTTTTATACCGTGACAACAGTATTGTTGGTTGGGTCAGTGTTTGGATCACAGATTTACAATAAGACTTCCTGCATGGTTGGGTCAGTGTTTGCATCACAGATTGACAGTAAGACTTCCTGGTTGGGTCAGTTTTTGATCACTGATTTACAGTAAGACTGCCTGGTTGAGTCAGTGTTTGGATCACAGATTTACAGTAAGACTTCCTGGTTGGGTCAGTTTTTGATCACTGATTTACAGTAAGACTGCCTGGTTGAGTCAGTGTTTGGATCACTGATTTACAGTAAGACTTCCTGGTTGGGTCAGTGTTTGATCACTGATTTACAGTAAGACTTCCTGGTTGGGTCAGTGTTTGGATCACAGATTTACAGTAAGACTTCCTGGTTGGGTCAGTGTTTGGATGACAGATTTACAGTAAGACTTCCTGGTTGGGTCAGTGTTTGGATCACTGATTTACAGTAAGACTTCCTGGTTGGGTCAGTGTTTGGATCACAGATTTACAATAAGACTTCCTGGTTGGGTCAGTGTTTGGATCACAGATTTACACTAAGACTTCCTGGTTGGGTCAGTGTTTGGATCACAGATTTACAGTAAGACTTCCTGGTTGGGTCAGTGTTTGCATCACAGATTTACAGTAAGACTTCCTGGTTGGGTCAGTGTTTGGATCACAGATTTACACTAAGACTTCCTGGTTGGGTCAGTGTTTGGATCACAGATTTACAGTAAGACTTCCTGGTTGTGTCAGTGTTTGGATCACAGATTTACAGTAAGACTTCCTAGTTGGGTCAGTGTTTGGATCACAGATTTACAGTAAGACTTCCTGGTTGGGTCAGTGTTTGGATCACAGATTTACAGTAAGACTTCCTGGTTGGGTCAGTGTTTGGATGACAGATTTACAGTAAGACTTCCTGGTTGGGTCAGTGTTTGGATCACAGATTTACAGTAAGACTTCCTGGTTGGGTCAGTGTTTGGATCACAGATTTACAGTAAGACTTCCTGGTTGGGTCAGTGTTTGGATCACAGATTTACAGTAAGACTTCCTGGTTGGGTCAGTGTTTGGATCACAGATTTACAGTAAGACTTCCTGGTTGGGTCAGTGTTTCTCACCTGGTGCACAGGAGCAGTTGAAGCCGTTGATGAGGTCATTGCAGGTAGCACCATTGAGGCAACTGCACACACAGCAGTCATCAATGTTGTGTTCACAGTTCTTCCCTTCAAACCCTGTCCCCTGAAACAAGAGAATGTTCATGTGAAATTACCACTGTACTTGTCATCTTACCATCATCGACATCAAACCCTCCCCTAAAATCATCACAATCATTCTTATCATCACAATTATACTTATAACAATCATCCTTATCATCACAATTACACTTATAACAATCATCCTTATCATCACAATTACACTTATGACAATCACCACAATCATCCTTATCATCACAATTATACTTATAACAATCATCCTTATCATCACAATTACACTTATGACAATCACCACAATCATTCTTATCATCACAATTATACTTATAACAATCATCCTTATCATCACAATTACACTTATGACAATCACCACAATCATTCTTATCATCACAATTATACTTATAACAATCATCCTTATCATCACAATTACACTTATGACAATCACCACAATCATTCTTATCATCACAATTATACTTATAACAATCATCCTTATCATCACAATTACACTTATGACAATCACCACAATCATCCTTATCATCACAATTATACTTATAACAATCATCACAATTACACTTATAGCAATCATCACAATCATCCTTATCACAATTAAACTTATAACAATCATCACAATTACACTTATGACAATCACCCTTATTATCACAATTAAACTTATAACAATCATCACAATTACACTTATGACAATCACCCTTATCATCACAATTATACTTATAACAATCATCACAATTACACTTATGACAATCACCCTTATCATCACAATTATACTTATAACAATCATCACAATTACACTTATAACAATCATCACAATTATACTTATGACAATCACCCTTATCATCACAATTATACTTATAACAATCATCACAATTACACTTATGACAATCACAACAATCATCCTTATCACAATTACACTTATAACAATCATCACAATTATACTTATGACAATCACCCTTATCATCACAATTATACTTATAACAATCATCACAATTACACTTATGACAATCATCACACTTATACTTCATGTGAAATTACCACTGTACTTGTCATCTTACCATCATCGACATCAAACCCTCCCCTAAAATCATCACAATCATTCTTATCATCACAATTATACTTATAACAATCATCCTTATCATCACAATTACACTTATGACAATCACCACAATCATCCTTATCATCACAATTATACTTATAACAATCATCACAATTACACTTATAGCAATCATCACAATCATCCTTATCATCACAATTATACTTATAACAATCATCACAATTACACTTATAACAATCATCACAATTACACTTATGACAATCACCCTTATTATCACAATTAAACTTATAACAATCATCACAATTACACTTATGACAATCACCCTTATTATCACAATTAAACTTATAACAATCATCACAATTACACTTATGACAATCACCCTTATCATCACAATTATACTTATAACAATCATCACAATTACACTTATGACAATCACCACAATTACACTTATGACAATCACAACAATCATCCTTATCACAATTACACTTATAACAATCATCACAATTATACTTATGACAATCACCCTTATCATCACAATTATACTTATAACAATCATCACAATTACACTTATGACAATCACAACAATCATCCTTATCACAATTACACTTATAACAATCATCACAATTATACTTATGACAATCATCCTTATCATCACAATTATACTTATAACAATCATCACAATTACACTTATGACAATCACCACAATCATCCTTATCATCACAATTACACTTATGACAATCACCCTTATCATCACAATTATACTTATAACAATCATCACAATAACACTTATGACAATCACCACAATCATCCTTATCATCACAATTATACTTATGACAATCAGCCTTATCATCACAATTATACTTATAACAATCATCACACTTATACTTATGACAATCACCACAATCATCCTTATCATCACAATTATACTTATGACAATCACCCTTATCATCACAATTATACTTATGACAATCACCCTTATCATCACAATTATACTTATAACAATTATCACAATTATACTTATGTCAATCACCACAATTATACTTATAACAATCATCACAATTACACTTATGACAATCACCACAATCATTCTTATCATCACTATCATACTTATTACAATCATCACAATTATACTTATAACAATCATCACAACTATACTTCTAACAATCACCACAATCATCCTTATCATCACAATTATACTTATAACAATCATCACAATTACACTTATGACAATCACCACAATCATCCTTATCATCACAATTATACTAAAAACAATCATCACAATCATCCTTATCATCACAATTATAACAGGCGAATAAGCTTGTCGTAAGAGGCAACTAACAAGATCGGGTGGTCAGGCTCGCTGATTTGGTTGATGCATGTCATCGTATTCCAATTGTGTGGATCAATGCTCATGAGGACAATCACTGGATTGTCTGGTCCAGAGTTTATTATTTACACACTGTCGTCATATGGCTTGATTATTGCTGAGTGCGACTTTAAACAACAAACAACTAACAATCACAATCATCCTTATCATCACAATTACACTTATCACAATCATCACTATCACCACAATAATCATCAACATCATCACCATAGCTATCAGTTGTATTTGTCAGTTTCCAGACAACAAAATTTTCCAGATCTACTTGTCTACCCCTAGGTATCCTGCAAGTTTTAGCCCTATTTGAATTCAAAGAAAGAAGTATATACTTGATAACTCAAGGAGGCTATAAAGAGCATGATGGTGCAAGTGATTACATGCAACAATGTCATGGACAGCTATACCTGGTAGTATTATAGCAGCCATGTAAAGTGTGAACAAGAGCAACTCTTTCAGGTAACGTTAGCTACTCACTGTGCAGTCGCAGAAGTAGTCAGCGATCATGTCATGGCACACGCCGCTGTTGAGGCATGGAGCGCCGTCACAGTCATCAGTGTTCACGTCACACCTGGGAAACACAGATAAATATCATCCATTGTTCACTGATCATTAAAGAAATTAACCTTTTAACTAAAACATGAATATAAACCTCATCAGTGTGCTATCCTTATAGTGAAAAAAAATCCAGTGGAGTATGGGTACAATTGTGGGGTCCAACTCTCACCCCTGTCCTCATGAAAATTACACATACACCTGTCACTGAATTTTCCACCATTTTTACAAACATTGCTTTAAATATATTTTTCTCTGACAATTTTAGGATTGGACCTTTCTATTGAGAGCACACTCTGAAAAACAACATGCCTTTCAAGAGGGACATGGAAAATTAGGATGTTTTCTGGATCATGAGAAGAAGTATGACTTACAGGTTGCCCTGGAAACCATCATAGCATTCACAGCGGAATGCGAGGTGTTCATCAACACACACACCATTGATGCACTGGTCGGGCTGACATTCGTCCGTCACCATCTCGCAGCAGCCCCCATCATATCCTGTCACATGACACAACACATGTATTCATGACTCTTTTTTAAACAAGATATAACACTTTCCTCAAAACTGTTCATTCATTTATGACACAATATTGGAAAAATATATGTTTTACATACAAAATTCAGTAAAATGTGAATAATGAAAAGAATTAAAATCAGCATCTTATTATTCATTTTTCATCAAAGTCATAAAGATAATAATTTGACTTGTCAAACTCATTTTATATTACAAACATGCAGAGCATTTTAAAGAAAATGTTATCAAAAGGAAATGACATAACGTAATCCATATCATGGCCCAGAATTTCAGCTGTTGGTACAATCAGAGACCATATACCGATATATGGTATCTGGTACATCAGTTATGACACTACTGGATTTGGATCATAACATGGAGGGTCAAGATTTATCTAAACTGTATACTGTAAACATCACCACCATTCTCAACTAGCTAGTCATAAGAGGCGACTAACGGGATCGGGAGGTCAGACTCGCTGACTTGGTTGATGCATGTCATCGTATGTCATCATCAAATTGGATAGATAGATGCTCATGATGTCAATCACTTGATTATTTTCAGACCGCTGGCATACGGCTGGAATATTGCTGTGTGCAGTGTGAAACAGACAGACAGACAGACAGACAGACAGACAAACAACCTGGGACATACCTGGAGGACATGAGCAGGTGAAGTTGTTGACGGCGTCCACGCACGTGCCACCATTCACACAGGGCTGAGATGCGCAGTCATCTATGTCAGTCTCACAGAAGGAGCCTACATGGAGGTAAAAGGGAACACTGAACATAACAACTTGTAATGTGTGTGAAAAGTCCTACTATAATATGCTATTTGAAGGGGGCGTGGCCTAAATGCAAATGTCCGATTGGGATTTTAAATTTTCCGGACCCCTGGGTAAAACACACAGTAGGTTTACACAAACATACCCGTTAACATTCGTGTTTAGGTATGGATTTATCTAGATTAAAGAATAATTAACCCTGGTAATGTTTTTCCATTATATAAAGTTGACAAAATTATATCCTGGAGCCAACAAATCAAGCATATATTTTTTATGGCTATGTGCATTTTTTCTATCAGGTATAAATGTGCCCAAAATTGGCGCATTCATCCCATGTTTAATAAAGTCTAGACTGTTTGAAATCGCCCACCCTCTTTACAGTGTCTTACACTAAAAATTAATCCAGCAGGCCGGGGTAGGAAGTGTGATAACAATTCAGCAGTCTAAAGGTTAAGTAAATGTACATGTATTAGATAATTGAACACATTGATAACTATTATTGACAAATCAGAATTACTAGTTAATTGTAATAAATGTGGTTTTGCTAGTTCCATGTACCTGTGAAGCCAGGTAGACAATCACAGGTGTAGAAGGTGTCGTTGTTCAAACAGGTGGCACCATTAACACAGCTGTGACCTTCACACTGATCCACAACTGAAAAACAGTTACAGAAAAATTAAACAATATACCATCTATTAATCATTTCAGCAAAAGGATTTGTATGTGAAGCTAAATAATGTCAATGTGGCCTTGAACATCGACCTTGTACATTGACTTTTATTTCTAACGGAAGTGAGTACGTTTTTTATGTTGCTCTCAGCAATAACGCAGCAATTTTCAGTAATATACTGGCTCGTGAATCATATCAACAGCGATTTGGTCTTTATTTCTTCTCAACAAACTTAAGAAACCCAAATAACTGAGCCCATGGATCTCCATGTACAAAAAGACATTAAAAGCTGGTACTTGTTGCTACCATGCCTGGTGCTTGGCATTTACGTGATAAAACAAGGACTGTTTGGCTCGGAGTTAGTAGACTGTATTTGAGTGGGGTATCCTTGGTAAACTGTGGCATGGTTTCTGAGTTGACAAGCACTATAAAACCGAAATAAGCCCAGACTAGTACAAGTATCAACACACATGCACGCATGTCACTATACAAGTGCAATAATCTTGAATGCGACATTAAATCCTATTTCCCCTTACCTCAACTCCGTGCAGTTACTAAAAACAACAACAACAACAACAACAAAAAATACCAGCATGGGTGGAAGGTTTGCTCATGTGGCAATCAGTTGTGCACATCTGTTGTGCTTATCTGGAATTAGCATGGTGCAATCACGATTGTACACAGAGCAAGATCAAGTGCACTGCCTCCATCCCACCATAGTCCCCTATCAAAGGAAATGGATTCTTCCGGTGCATGCAGAATGCATACTATCCTAAAACCTGGTGTTAACAATGATGTTTCTTAAATTTGTTTAGCAGTACATGATTGTAGCAAGGGTTGTAGCTATGAAGGACTATTGCTCAATCCTTCCTGAGTGTGATGACGACCTCACCGATGCACTGCGTGCTGCTGTTGCTGGCGACGTCCACGGTGATGGTGTTCTCGGGGCACTGTATGCAGTAGGTGCTGCGATACTTGTCGTTGTAGGTGTTCTTGGGGCAGGGGTAGCAGGGCTCCACCCCACAACAGCTCACATAGCCCGGCCGGCACTCTCCTGGGGGTGGAGTATTTATTGTGTGATCATCATAGGAAATATACATATACCAGGGGTATGCTACAAATGCTTCCTTTTGATGGTGATATTGTCAGGATTGTTTTTACAAGTGTACATTTTCATTCTGTTTGGCCGCCTGCACCAGGTGCAACCAAGTGATTTAATCAAGTTGCACCACCAAAATATTGGCTAAACCATTTTATCAAAAATTGAAAGACTGTATTTTCAGTTATTTTGAATATTAAATAAATTCAAAGAGAAAATGAACTTAAAAATGTGCTCCAGTATTTTATATCAAGGAAATCTGTATATGGCTTTTCACATCTTGATATTCAGTAAACAACCTTAAACAGAAGTTTCAAAGTGTCTGTTGCTTGAGATTGTAACCTCACGAGTGACTGTTCAAGTGGTTATTCTAAAAAATTGGTTCTGCAATTTCATTGCATTCAGACCTGTGTATTTCACTATTTTCATGAATTTTGTTTCCTGGATTCTAAAAGATTTGCAGCGAATATAACTGCTGCCGTGCACTTGTGGTGGGAAATGTTACCTGCACTGGGTGCAACCTGCCAATAACAGTTACCTGCATTAGCAATGTTTTACCTGCACTGGTGCAACTTGGATATAGCAAAATCGATCCCTAATAGATCTTAGTAATACACATATAGACAAGGGATCACTTACTGTATTGTACAACTGCTTGATTACATATTAACATTTTGCATCTGAATGTTATTTGATAACAGTTGAAAAGGGCATTCATATAGGGCTACTTGCTATAAAGAGATAAGACTAGATTGAAGTAAATTGGTCTCTTTCACAGGTAGTTGAAAAAAAATAATCTCACCGAAACATTTATCAACTGTGTCGGCGCCTGGTTGCTCTGTTGACTGGTCACCTGGACACTTGACACACTGAGTGGCGCCAACGTCAGGCTGGTACCATCCTTTCTCACACTGGCTACAGGGCACCAAGCCAGATGGCGACGACTCCCCAGGTGGACATTGTGCTGTAACAGTAATACAAGGATCAGGGAGGGCATTCAAGGTTCCCGATTCATTTATTTTCTAGGACATCGATGATTGTCAACCAAAATGTCCTAGATATTATTTTTCACACTTGGTAACGATATCGAAAAATGTCCTATGGAAAGTATAGAAAATCATGAAAAAGTCCTCTACCATTTTTCTCTTGCAAAATCACTTGGTATTCTATTGTTAGATCATTTGTCATTATCCTATTTAGGTATTTGTTTATTTTTACCTGATCTGTGCTACATTCGGATGTTTGTTAATGTAAAGATTTTTTACACCTCTACTCGCAGCAGAAAAATGCATGCAATGATTCAGCTCAACAGGTCTTGTAGTTTCAGGGGAGATGTAGAAAATGCAATAACACTTGAAAAACAGAGGTACTCAAAGGTCTAACGTTGTAGACTGATCCAAAAGCAAAATATGCCAAAACCATTTTTAGATGTTATTCTGCATATCAAATTTCATAAAGATACACACACAAATGGCTGAGTATATAGGTACAAATAACATTTTCAATATGGCCACCATGAGAGCCATGTTTGAAACTGGATTGTGAGCATTTGCTAGAGAAACCAAATCTGGGATCCTTCATACAAAATTTCAGCTTTGTATTTTCAGGGACTAGGTGTCCAAACAGGTAAACGTTAACAATGAACAACTCGACTGTACACATCTCGCCCCAACGTAAACTTTCTTGACTTGACTTAACACACCCTTCTTAGTATCAGTTAGGGTACAAATGGCCACCATTATTGCTATAAATATATCAAATTTTGCAGCCATAAATTTGAAAAAACTAGGCTGAGTCTGTTGATGACTAAAGAACCATCTGATGATCATTTACTGAAGTGTTTTTGCATTTACAGTCTATGTTGGTGTATATATAGCCTCAGTGCTCACCTAGACATTGAGACTCTGCTACAGACTGCTCCTGTTCTGTCGATGTCCCTGTGGCACATGGCTTACAGGATGCTTGTCCAGCCTCATCTTGGTAGGAGCCCCTCGGGCAGCTCTGGCACTGACCAGAGGTCAGGTTGGCAAATGTGCCTCTCGTACATTCCACTACAAGATACAATGTGCAAACATCAGCATTGATGTATCATATTTCTTGTACCCACCCGACCCGAGTACCCGAGTGACCCGTCCCAGCCCTATTACACAGTATATAAATAGGTCATCATCCTTAAGAAAAATATATGACTTACAACAATACTCTTCCCTTGGAATGTGGCCTGGCGGACACTGGTTATCTCCCCCTCCTGTACAAGGTGGCCTGTAGGTGGCGTTGCCACAGCCCTCTATGTGTATGTCAAGGTTGGTGGTGTTTGCCTGCTCCAGGATGAGTTTCCCACAGGCGGAGGCCAGATCGTATGGAGGAACCTTGGGCTTCACCATTTGTATGTAGACCTTGACCTTGACGGTCACCTACAGCGGAACACATCAAGATGTCATGAACAGAACCTATACACTCCACAAAACCCACTGTTTTGATCATGCTTGCAATGATGGAAAATATACCTTCTAAATATCTATACAAACTCAAATCCCCAGAATTAAAGTTTTGTGAAAAAGGGTTTGAAAACATGATGGACCAGATATACTAATTAATCGTGAAGTCTGATTTACTAAATATAAAACAACAGAGAACAAGAAAACAGCGTTATCACTATACCCCGCCATGAGGCACATTAGAAGTTTGTTTGTCCATATAGTTGTGAACATAAACTATAAAAATGAGCCCCATAAAGGCTTATGAAGAGATAGGCACTTGGCACGCTTTTTGTCATCAGGAAAAATGATTAAATGTGAAATTAATGTACACAAAAGGCCCTTTCTCTGGAAAAATAACTCAGTCTTGATAAGTATCTCTTAGATAAGCTAACTTCAGCTCTTTCTGAGAAAACTTGCCCCCATTGTACAAATAACAAGGATCGAAGGCCATAACTCTGTAAACGAATGACAGGACCAATTTTCGAACTCAGTCTTGACAAGTATCTCTTAGATAAACATGCAAACTTTCATCTATGTAATTTCAGTATTTTCTGAGAAAACTTGTCCCCATTACACATAGTAGGCACTAAGCTGAAAATCACGGAGCAAGGGTAATAACTCTGTAAAAGTTTAATTTACGCAATCAAACTCATTTGAGATCATGACCAGTAACACCAGTGTGCAAAATTTCATTTCTCTGACTTAAATAGTTTTTGAGAAAATTTTTGCTGTGAGGCCAGAGCTCCAGATAAGCTGCGTATCTGCGTGAAATACGCATCAGAAATGCAGAAATATGCAGTAAAATAAAATCCAAGCTAATCAAATACGCACCGAACATTACAGATACGCTACAAAAATAAAACTTGGGCGTATCATCAAAATATTGTGAAGCAACCCTGCGTATTTGAATAGCAAATCAGCAACTTATTTTGAAATTATAAACGGGCATTCCGTCAACCTTGCCAAACTCCACGATGACAGTTACATCATGATCATTTGCCATCACACTTTCTTGTGGAAGTATCGTGGTATTTTTGAGTCCTATAAAGCTCTCGAACCCGCACGACACCAGTTTGCAGGGACTAGATGAATAGTGTTTTTAAATATTTAACTTAAATACCCACATGTGTAAGCCTAGTGGGTAACAGAAATTTGAATACCCAGATAGAATTACTGATACCTAATGATTTTAAAATGCATGGGTAAAATACCCACAACACCAAAAGCTTATCTGGAGCTCTGGAGGCAGAGAGCATATATATGTACATGTGAGGACAACAAAAGTAATAAGATAACAAAGGTGTACATAACCACTCCCTTGTTAGTTTCCACCTTTTGTTGTCCTTACATGTACACATATATGCTCTCTGCCTCATGGCATTCATTCACCTGATGAAGGAGTAAGTATATACTCTGAAATGTTGTGTTTCCTCATTGTAAAGAAGTTGATATCCATAAATTCTCTTCCTTATGTGTATCACTTCTAAATGCCATTCAAAGACTTGATGATAAACATTGTATTGTGATTCAAGTTTCATGATTGTATGGCAGTGCTTCCCATAGGCTGTGGAAAGTCTCTTCCGTTTCAAATGTTTATCCCATTGAAGCAAGATACAGACAATGATTTTGACAGCATCAGTACCTGTAACTGTCATTCAGTGAGTGAATGAGTGAGTTGGGTTTAAAGTCGCTTTTAACAGTATTCCAGTTATCTCACGGCGTGTCAGCTTAATGTGGGAGGAAAGCCCCAAGTGATGCAGGTCTCAGACGTTTACCACTGCTGTGAAAACCCATGAGCATGGGTATGGTGCTGACAAACCTAGAAACATAATCGGGGCAACCAGGATTCGAACCCCACAATCATAGGTTTCTGGTGTGCCCAAGGAACGCAACTCTGCACAGCGAATTGTGGCGCCTTAGACGACTGGGCCACAAGTGCCCCCTAACTGTCATTCAGAATATCATGTGTTAATCTTTTTCAGGTTGTATGATTAATAAACACATTCCAACTGTCACTTTCCCATGACCTGACATGACCCGTAACGTGATATTTTCAGATTTTTGTTCAGTGGTAGCGAGTACTAAGATCTGATTTTTAAGTTTGTTTGTTTGTTTGTTTGTTTGTTTGTTGTTTAATGCTGCACCAAGCAATATTCCAGCTATATGACAGCGGTCTGTATATAATCAAGTCTGAACCAGACAATCCAGTGATTGACATCATGAGCGTCAATCCATGCAATTGGAATATGATGACATGCATCAACCAAGTCAGAGAGCCTGACCACCTGATCCTGTTAGTCCCCTCTTACGACAAACATAGTCGCCTTTTAAGGCAAGATCTGATTTATACGACATTGTAACATCTCTAGAGCAAACTAAAAACTATGTCATGGAACCTATGGTAACATTGACCTATACACTTCTAGAAGTGCTACTGAGTTGAAACACAGGGCCACTGATTTGAGCCAGAGATCATCACACAGACCTTTGTGGTTTCTATGGACATGGAGTAGGTGGAGGTGATGTTGAGGAGGTCGCTCGCGGCAGCACATGGTTCTGTGATTACTGGACCCAGCGCCTCCAGAATATTGTCTTTGAGGTGGAACACACAGCTCTCACTGTTGTTGCCATTGTACTCAAACTCAAAGTCAAGGTCAAGGTCATAGTCAGGTGCGACTTTGTCTGTTGGAGAAAGAGAGTACCGATTATCAGTTATAGATTTTATGAAAATGAAAGAAACTATTTGACCAATCTCTCCATGGTTACTCAAAAGATGACTAGAATACAGATAAACAATCCTTATCCCAGAATTCTCACCTCTCATGCAGCAATAGCATGATAACTTATGTATTTAATTTTCCGTTGAGTTTTATGTTATGGGTATTTGCAGAAACCTATGTTAAACCGTCCATCATGAGAAACCACAGCACATTGAGCAAGGAGGTAGCAATGGGTACTGCAATTATGTATAATATTATGTAATATGAATGTGTAAGAAACCAGTTCTCCCTCATTCAAATGACTACTTCCTTAATAATAATAATACAAATAAATAATTACACTGAAACTGAAGTTTGTTTGTTTTTTGTTTAACACCTTACTCAGCAATATTCCAGCTATATGACAACAGTCTGTAAATATATATAAACAGACCAAACAATCAAGTGATTGACATTATGAGCATCAATCTATGCAATTGGAATACGATGACATGCATAAACCAAGTCAGTGAGTCTAACCGGATCCTGTTAGTCGCCTCTTACGACAAGCTTGGAGGACCATTTCTATCCCGGATGTTCACGGGGTTGACAATCATGGGTTGCTGAAGACCAATTCCCCCCCCCCCCCGAATCCTTATGGGGGTTGACAAACATGGGTTGCTGAAGACCAATTCTACCCCGAATCTTTATGGGGAGTGACAATCATGGGTTGCTGAAGACCAATTCTAACCCGGATCTTCACTGGGTTGTAAAATAAAGGCACAGCTAAACTTAAAGAAGTAAGACTGAATCAGAATCATATTGCAGAAATATAAAAAGAGATTTGTGAACCAACCTGTACAGTCTGGGACAATGTTATGAGGGAACCAGGTCCCGCCCAGCTCACAAATATACTGTAATGGAGGCTGGTACACGAAGTCCATCCCTGGCGGACATTGGAGGTGACAGCTGAAGGCTGTCTTGTTGCCCACCACGTTGCCTGTACACGCCTTGTCCCCGCCCTCGGGGGTCGGGAGGGACCACTCAGGACACTCCTCGGCTGTCAGGATATATACAGTATATCACAAGGCTGATATATCCAGTTAGGGATAACTCTATATAGCATGGAAATGGGAGCTGTTGAAATGACTGAAGACCAAAACAATCAGAAGTGGAAGAATTTGAAATAGATGTGCGCATATTTATGGTTTATTCTCCCTGCAGTATTTATTGTACGATAAACGGCCACGATTTGTTTATTTCTTATATGAAATGTCAACATTATGTACAGTATCTTTAAGGATGACGATAAATTGTACAAGCTTTTAAAATATTTACCCAAATTTTAATAATAATGACTCCCTAAATAGAATCCTAACTCGGAACTGTCAAAAAAGTCCATTTTAAGAATATGCTGGTTAAGTTTGGTATTTTATGCATAATCTCACAATCCTCACGTGGATTATCAGTACCTGTTTTCCTAACACTGATTGTCTTATCCCTCCCACTTTTGGATGCGATAGTTCGGCCACTGCGTTTACCTGCAGCCCAGCTACATCTATGGGGAACAACTTACTTGACACTTCCCTCTTAAAAATAACGTCGTCCAATATATGATGTCATCAAGTTGCGAGCACATATTTGAAAATCTCCAGAAATGATGTCATGATAGAACAATGTTTTATTGTGAAATAAACGACGCTTTGTTTTTCTTTGCTATTTATTGCATATCTATCTTATAAATCTCATCTAAAACCAGATCTTTTACTCTGATAGGATACCTATCAATCTAGACCACCTAATCTAAATGATGGATGCATGAACTCTTGAGCCAATCAGGTTTCTAACATGATTCAACCTCTCTTTTACCACCTAGATTCGAAAATATTAATCTCAGCAAACAAAAACCTGTCGCAGAATACACATATATCCTCAATAGTACACCCTTTTGGATATAGATGCCATGGCACTCAGAAATGACATAACGTATAAAATATCTACAATGATATAAACAGTGCAGCTTTAAGTTTTTGCATTTGGAACTCCCCAATTATGTTCTTTTTTTGACACCTTGTCATTTGGACATATAGAATCTTGTAAAATCTTGTCATTTTGACAGATTAATTTGGAGTTGGTCTACCATGTCATTTTAACTTGATAATATGGACATTTTAAGATTACAATAAGTACTTTGTACATTTACGCAACAGGCAATGTTTTTTTATAAGGGTGCTTATTCACTGAACAGATTGTCTAACTGTATAAAATTACATGAAGAGATCTTCCAGAACTAATAATAGAATTCTTAATACAAACATCTTCAAAACCTCAGGTCTCCTGCTGTATTGGCATGAAAATATTGGATGTCAAATATTTGTATATTAGGCTTAAAAAAATGAAAGAAATGGTTCTCAGGCAATGACTTTTGAAAAAATAGTGTGAGCAGGCATTTGTTTTTGTTTTTTTCCTTGTTCAAACTAGTATGTAACCAAATAAACAGTATACGTACCAACAACCTGGGAAAGGACCTCCCTACATTAACAAGCATACAAACTCCTATAGCGGGCATCACCATAACACCAGATGCACAGAAAGCAGAGCGCATGTAAAGGGAAGTAACTGCATGCTATATTGGATCGCATTGTTTTTAAATATTAGCACTTTTAATTTTTTTTAAAATGGAAATAAAAAACAAAATGTGTGGCAGACTTTATTATGATACGGGTGGTGCCTGAGAACCAAGACTATCATTTTTTAGCCTCATTCTGGTCAACTTACGTTGAGCTTCATATACAAAAGAGCAGGAAGCCATGTTGCCAGCATTGTCGTACACTGTGGCAGTTATTTCAATAGGCTTGAGCATCCGTATGACAGTGCCCTCTGGTGGTGAGTATTCAATTCTTTCAATACCACTGTAGTCACTGGCGTTGATTGGCTGGGACTGGAATCTCATCTGAACATCCTGTGTGTCGGTGTCATATAGCTCGACCACAACAGAGCTGGGGCAGATGACAGTGGGCGGGGTCACATCTGCAACACGAGATGGGGGTTAGATGCAGAGTAAGATGGAACACATTCGGGCTGGGATGGGTAGTTCGGGTACTCGGGTCGGTCCTGAGCTCGAGTTGGACCTGAGTACCCTCAGCACTACCCAGACCCATGTTTAGTGATATATTCTATCATGGCAATAACAATAAAACTCCATGGTTACACTACAAGTCTGTTTATGTTCACATTTTGTTTTTTTGCATGCATTCCTTGTATATTTTTAGACTTTTATAGGCTTGAATACAGATAAAGCTTCAGTCAACTTCAGTGTATGCATAATCAGATTGTTTTACATGTGTATCTGAATAGTTTTTGCCAGGGCTCCAGTAAAAACGTTTCCCAATCGGACATTTTGTTCCCAAGTCTTGAGACCTACAGCGGATAACCGGGTATTAAATTTTGACTCATCCCAATCCTAGAATGCATTTAGTTTACAGTATCCAGACATGCTGATTGAAAACTAACATCTTAACCTGTCCCAAACCTTCAAGACTCAATATGACAGATTCTCTCAAAATGACAATAAATGACTCAAAATGAGAACAATGTTTAAGTGCAAACCTTGTGTATAACCTGTTTCAAAGGTTTTTTTCAGTAAATTATATGTAGGGTGTTTTAAAAAAGTAGCTAAGTATAGGTTAGACCACGACCTCAAGGGGAATTAATTGACCATTTCAACAATTAAACATCGGAATCCATCAGAATTGGTCTAACCCATTTAAACCATGGTCAACATTCATAGCACCAAAATTGCTTAATAGACATTGTTTTTTGAAGGTAGTTTGAAAGATATTCAGGAACTCTATGCTAGATTGTGAGAACACTGTGTGAGTCGCCCCTGCATGATGCATGTGAAATGTGTTTTCCGAACCTTTCACATGTGCACCTAGCAATTTGCCGACTTGGGTTATGAAATGCATGTCCTGGGGCAAGTATATCATTCATTTCGGACCAACTCGAGTACATTTATCAATCACCTAAATATCACTTGCCCATGTTGATGGGCCTATTATGAGAAACATCAAATGTACTGCATAATATTTCACAGTACATAAATGGATAAGCTATCAGTTCTGATGTAAGAAAGTATTTTGTTGTTAATTTCATACAATTTCTTGGTGTCGACTTCGTGGGTTCAAATTCCCCTGGCATTACATGTTTTTCATGAAATTGTTCTATTATCAAGGTAAATGATAGGGAAAAAAATGTTCCGGCATTGCCATGAGATGTTTTACTGACAATTCAGTCAGTTGCAAGACAAAGGAGCCATGGTTTAAGGACATTGTTACAACCTTACGAAATAACCATTTGATGGTTAAAGCAGCACCAGTGCAAATACTGATGCAACAATGTATGAGTAGCACTACCACTCACCGACCAGGAACACATGGAGGGGACAGGTGCCCACGTTTCCCACTGAGTCAGTGGCTGCAACAGTCACCGTCATGTTCTGAAACCAAGGAGGACAATGATATATACCACAGCACAGAGTAGTCTCAGCCACACACACACACTACACTACAGCCATACCAGAGATAGAGCAACTCTAGAGGAGACTCACTAGACACACAACACTACAGCTATACCAGAGATTGGGCAACTCTAGAGGAGACTCACTAGACACACAACACTACAGCTATACCAGAGATTGGGCAACTCTAGAAGACACTCACTAGACACACAACACTACAGCTATACCAGAAATTGGGCAACTCTAGAAGACAGTCACTCAAGACACACAACACAACACTACAGCTATACCAGAGATTGGGCAACCCTATCATAAGGTCATGCCAGCACATTGCGCATCACACAGAGTACAGTCACTCCAGACACACAATACTACACTACAGCCATACAAGAGAGAGGGCAACCCTATCGTAAGGTCATGCCAGCACATTGCGCATCACACAGAGTACAGTCACTCCAGACAGACACACAACACTTCACTACAGCCATACTAGAGAGAGGGCAACCCTATCGTAAGGTCATGCCAGCACATTGCGCATCACACAGAGTACAGTCACTCCAGACACACAATACTACACTACAGCCATACTAGAGAGAGGGCAACCCTATCGTAAGGTCATGCCAGCACATTGCGCATCACCCAGAGTACAGTCACTCCAGACAGACACACAACTCTTCACTACAGCCATACTAGAGAGAGGGCAACCCTATCGTAAGGTCATGCCAGCACATTGCGCATCACACAGAGTACAGTCACTCCAGACAGACACACTACACTTCACTACAGCCATACTAGAGAGAGGGCAACCCTATCGTAACATCATGCCAGCACATTGGGCATCACACAGAGGACAGTGACACAGATGGTTACAGTATATTACATGCTAACATCATACCACTATATCATGGTAATTTCCTCACCTTTGTGAACAGGTAGGGCAATCTGAAGTCAGCAGGGGTGTAGGTGACAGTGGGCGTGGCCCCTGAGTTGTCCGAGAATGTTGGCAGCGTGATGTTGGCAGGAACCGGCCCATTAGGACCCAGCTCCACCTTAATATTCCCCGTGGGGCAGTCAGTGAAGACCGGGGCCTGGGCGTCTGTGTGGAGACAGACACATGTAGCACAAACTCATCCTCACTTAACAGGGTAGAAGATGGAGGAGACATGATGGTTTAGAATCATATCTTAACCAACAAATACAGAATATTTAGCAAGGTATCTATATTATCTATTTGTATCAAGGCTTCTATTTAGATACCAATGAAACAGATATTAAAGATAATAATGAAATTGCTATCAGTATAGACATCAGCAATGGTGGGGGCACAGCTATCTGTATTGATATCAGCAATGGTGGGGCACAGCTATTGGTTTGACACAAGCAATGGTGAGGCACAGCTATTGGTTTGACACTAGCAATGGTGGTGCACAACTATTGGTTTGACACTAGCAATGGTGGTGCACAACTATTGGTTTGACACTAGCAATGGTGAGGCACAGCTATTGGTTTGACACTAGCAATGGTGGGGCACAGCTATTGGTTTGACACTAGCAATGTTGGGGCACAACTATTGGTTTGACACTAGCAATGGTGGGGCACAACTATTGGTTTGACACTAGCAATGGTGGGGCACAATAGCAATGGTTGGGCACAACTATTGGTTTGACACTAGCAATGGTAGGGCACAACTATTGGTTTGACACTAGCAATGGTGGGGCACAACTATTGGTTTGACACTAGCAATGGTGGGGCACAATAGCAATGGTGGGGCACAATAGCAATGGTGGGGCACAACTATTGGTTTGATACTAGCAATGGTGAGGCACATCTATCAGTATTGATATAATGAATGGTGGGGCACAGCTATCAGTATTGATATCAGCAATGGTGGGGCACATGCATCTTGGTGCATGTTTTGGCCAATGTGTTGTGTACCCACCCTGACAGAGGGGAAGTGAGGTGTTCCATCGTGGGCTGTTGTCCTGGTTGAAGGTGTGGATCTTCAGGTTACTGTAGACAGAACTGCGCTTCCTGCGAGGGGAGTTTCCTGGAACCAACAGCAATAAACCCTCAATATATAGTTCATCGGGAATATAACATATAAAGTGAAGAGCCCAGCTGCATGTGTGACAGCTGATATACTTATACAAGGGATGTTTGATCATTTCTAAACCTCACATACAACAAATTGCATCATAGTTAAGTATTTTGTTGTGGACATAACATGACATCATAGTGGTAGATTCCCAAAAGCAAATGTATCGCTGTGACAAGTCAGTAACATAAGCAGGGGTCTGTGTCCTTTGGAAAATGGACAAACTTGAGGAACGTGCAGTGATGAAGTATGTGTGATATACTTATATAGTGGTACCCCGCTAGGGACGCATTTGCACGTGCAACTCGCAGTAAACACAAAATTCAAAGTTCGAGGATTTATTCAGATGCATGTCAAATACGGGAGCCATCGCACATCACACAACAAATATAGTTACTCAAATACACATTGTAGACTCCGTGAACACCATGGTTCCTCTTCATTTACATCGAACATGGCAGTTTTCCCAATCCTCAACCACGTGCTTTCATCACAACAAATCAGTTTTTTTCTACTAAGGGAGATAATTCTATAAACACATGTTCTGTGCATACTACTAAGAATATCTCATTCCGTCGCTTTCTCCTACTGCTACAATACTACATGCATGTACAACTGATATACCTGGGCCTTTGGTCTTGCTGCCCTGCTCCTCACACATCCCAGAAGATGAGTGGTAGCTGAGTGTTCCAAAGCAGGTCCATTCTGATTTCGTCACCCTGTAGCTGTTTTTGATGATGGACGTGGGGCCACAGAAAGGAGTCACCTGGGTCGGCAACGAGGTCAGAGTCCGCTCCAGGCTCTCCCCCAAATAGGTCTTCAGTCTTGCGGCACATTTCTGGACATCACTCTTCACTGCCGACATACTCAGCAACCCAAACGGAATCAATATCATCACCTGAAGTAGGAATTTTGAATTGTAGTGAAAACCCAGCAGTTGCACGACATGTGTAGCAGTCAGAACATTCCTGATTGCCATGTTGGGGCATGGGTGACCCAGTCGATTGATGCACTGCGATTCACTGTGCAGAGCTGCGTCCATTGGTCACGACAGAAACCTATGATTGTGGATTCGAATCCTGGTTCGCCCCGATAACGTTTTTAGGTTTGTCAGCACCATACCTGTGCTCGTGGGTTTCACCAAAGTGGTAAATGTCTGAGACCTGCATCACTTTGGGCTTTCCTCCAACCTTAAGCTGACACGCCGTGATATAACTGGAATACTGTTAAAACGACGTTAAACCAAACTCACTCTCGCTCACTGAGTGCCATGATCGGTGAGCAGGGTGACAAGATAAGAATGCCATCAGTGGGATGACTCAACGCCCTGCTACATACTCACCCAGATATATTTTTTGCTCAAATTTGATATGAACGTGTCCAGACCCACATTGGAAGCCACAGATGACATTTGACCTTGTCACTTTGCTAAATCAATAACATTATGTTTTATTTTAGACAGAACTTGAAGTTGCCAAGGACGATACAAGGTTAAGACAAAGGGGGATAACTCTATAACTGTAAAGCAACAATTCATGGAACAAAATATAAGGTAGGTATTGCCAAAGTGGCTTTAAAATATTGCAAATATGTCATCATAAACTATTTTGGAACACAAAATATTATACTAACCTCCTTCCTGCTCGGTGCAATCTGTCCCTGTTTCAGCTGAAGCAGTACTTGTGAGGTGGCATCACACAGTGTCCTGTTCTGTAGACTGCCCATCACTTGGGTCACCACGGTCTTGATAGCTGACCCTGTGCTGACCGCAAGCTGGTTGGTGCACATCGTGGCATTCTGAGACACTTCCATTCTCAGTGTTGCAGTCATCACAAAGGTCGGGACATTCTCTGAAATCACAGTCCACAGCATGATGGACACGGCCATAACACATGCCTATACATGGCACAGTTACTGTCAGGTAGACAGACATATTATTTACTCTGCCACCCAATCACATTATCACGCAGTATTATCTCAGATGGGCAGCAGTGCCTTACCCTTTATCAAGGTGAGAGGGGGAGAAATGGGGCCCAACGTTCAAGATTACTGCACTTTATAGCGATCTGCATGGATAGGTGCTAGCCTAATGAGATAGACCATGCTGAAGTTTAACAGGGATACCCTGCACAGACACAGCATACTGACTCCGAGCTATTTTATCCCCTTAATGCAGAGAACCAGGTATGGTAACAAAAAGTACCATCTTTTGGGTAGAATGAATGAATGAATGAATGAATGAATGAATGAATGAATGACACACTCAGCAATATTCCACCTATATGACAGAGGTCTAATTGAGTCTGGAGCATCAATCCAGTGATTGACATCATGAGCATCAATCTACGTACCGTATTCAACATTATAAGCGCCCCGCTCTAATAAGCGCCCACGGCGATATTTGCTGATATATTGGCAAGTGAACAATGCCAATTAGCAACCCTTCTGATTGATCAATGTACACAAGACCTATTTATTCGTATATAATACCCACTCATGTGTTATATGCACTCTTAATTATGGGCAATTAAATTCTGGAAAAATATATCTGTCGTATATAAACAGTCAGACCGTCAGCATAAACCACGAAATTTATCTTTCAACTCTGTTTTTTCCACCAAAATAATATTCTAATAAGAGCCCCCTATTTCTAATTTTGAGAGCGCCCTGGGCGCTTTTTACGTCGAATACGGTAATTGGGATACAGTCACATGCATCAACCAAGTCAGCTAGCCTGACCACCTGATCCCATCAGTCGCCTCTTACGACAAGCATGAATGAATTAATGAATGAATGACCACATTCTCTGTCTATCAAAGATGATTCACAAAGATCTGTATGTGAATACGTGAAAAGTGAGTAGTGAGTGCGGTGTGCTTAAAACAAGCAGCTTGGGCACATACTGCTAGATTCGATTTACCTTTTAATGTCCCCAAACTATCCTAATACAATATATACACATCACCCTAATTCAAATGAACTTGAAATGAATCAAACAAAACATCAGTAAATGAACGCACCTTCGATACACTTGAAGTTGTCCTTATCGTACACATAGCCATCGGGACAGTAGATCTCCACATCAGAGTTTGATGTCTCCAGTTTCTCTGGTGACAGTTTGATGTCACTGCAGTTGTGGGTCTTGTTGCCGGTCAAGGTCAAGGTTGTCAGGTGGAGCTTGGGCTCCGTCAGCTGTCCAGCAGCATATCCGTAACAGACTAACATCTTCGAGTGATCGACGCTTTCCGAAAGTGGATAAAAGTGCAGTCTGCTGACCCCATTGATCTTTTAAAAGAATAATGTCAAATGGCATTGTTAGACACAGAATTCACAAACATACAGCACACACATTCATGCTAACAATTATTTTGGTATAATCTGAAAATGGGCATCCAAGTTACATAAACTGTACCCTGATTTGAAGGATTTTTTAATAATCATAAACTTATAATTTGACTGACATTGTTCACACAAGAAAGGATGAGGTATGATGAGGGCCCTTATTGTCCAACAGAAAATAGTTAATTTAAAAAATATGACAATATAGTTATGAAAATGTTCAACAGGTACAGTAGCTGAAAAATAACCATTTTCCTTCTCTTTCAAGTCTACAAATGAGTGAGTGAATTAAAATTTAACGTCACATTGGCATTATTTCAGCCATAAATGATGAGAAAAAGTTTATATATACACACCTGAGTCATGAATACAAGTTATATTTAAAAACAAATTAGTCAAACATATTTTGGCATAACATTATTAATTATACAGTTTAAAACACAGGCTATAGACCACCAGTAACCAAAGCGAGGCCACCTCACTGGGGATCATGGGGACTTACAGTGCCTCAGCTATTTACGTCATTACTTTAGCTACTGGTGTCAAAATGAGGACAGTTCAGTTATCATTTATCTCTCTTTTGGAATCTCTTTTGTACTTTCCTGTGAAGAGTATAGTCATTAAATTTCTCCATAATCTTTATGTAAATATTAATATTCTGACATGGTATCGAGATAAGCTGAGTCAAGGGAAGACAACCCTAATATCACGATAACCTGAGTCAAGGGAAGACAACCCTAATATCACAATAAGCTGAGACAACCCTAATAACGTGATAAGCTGTGTCAGGGGAAGACAACCAAAATAACGCGATAAGCTGAGTCAAGGGAAGACAACCCTAATAACACGATAAGCTGTGTCAAGGGAAGACAACCCTCACCTTATTATTCCCATCCGCTGACAGAGTCAAGTTCTCTGTAACGCTGACAAAGACATCCTTACAAAATTCCGACAGTATGGTTTGAACGTGAGCTTCCATCCATCTGAGTTCTGTTATGAGGGCAGAATGGTACTGAGCGATACAATACTCTGACACATGACCACTCGACACAAAGCTCCCCCGGAGGGTCAGAATCATCCTTGGCACAGTAGGGACAGGTTCTGGAGCTGGTGGAGCTGTAGTTGAAGCTGGCGTGGAAACAATGGCCGTGGTTCCACGGACACAAACCCATTCAGCGGAATCCAGGATGAAGCCTTCCTCACATCCCCATTCATTGCGGGTGATGTTGCAGCCAGGGCTGATGTAGGTGACGTTGCTGCAGAAGGTGGGGATGACTTCGTCTTGGATCATGCGAAGGAGTTTGGGAAGCTCCACTTGAGTGAAGATGATGAATTCGGCAGCACATGCTTCAACTGACTCCTTTGAGGATGTGTTGTATTTGAGACCATAGGTTACTGCAACGTTTGCCTGACAAAGAATGGGAAAACATCATACTCATTAAAGGATGTAGCTATATGATTGGCCAGTCCCTGTCATGTATTGGTATGTATTTAGGGCTGGAGGCCTTTAACTGAATAAAACAGTCTGTCTGTCTGTCTGTGTGTCCGTTTGATACTGCTCTCAAACCCTTATTAGAAGATACCATGAAATATAGGAAGTATCCTTACAACGCCCCTTTGCCTCATAAGCAATTTAACATAAGGTCCTTATTGTGTTAAATAAATAATTTCTTTTTTAATACTACATTGTCATTACCATTAGGATAATACAATATGACACAAGCAGAGATTCATCTAGGATTCCAAACTATTGCTGTTGCAGGCAAATTGAGAAAACCAATTTATTTGACTCAAAATTAGGATTTTATTTTAGCAAATGTTTACTGACATTTGCCGCAGAGTCAGCACCGAATGTCTGACACCGAGCAGATAAATCTCTGACAAGACACCATGATGCTAAATGACATAAGGCAGAGAACCATGTCTAAAGTACTGTCGGAAATGCGAGAAAAATGCTGTTCTGGCTTCATTTACAAAATATGAATCATAGGACTATGAAAATAGCATAAATCAAAATAATGCAAATCTACCCAAACTAGCCTATCCTGACTGATACTGATTAGCATAAAACGGTAGTTTTACAGGTAAAACGGTGATAAACTTAGACAATTATATTTGTGTGTTGTCATTCGTGTATGAAACAGGCTATAGTCTTAGGTAATTACCTCACTCCTGTCCCGAGGTGATGACCTCACACCAGCCCGCGCATTCGCACAAACTACATCATTATTATCATAACATAGTCGCATGCACATATTTCTATAATCCGTTTCACACTTCCATCATCACTTCCTAGGTGTAAATCTGAACTTGATGGTTACGTTCAAATGTTTCTCCTTTAAAATTGTCGATAGGACTCCTTCTAACTGAAATACCTCAAACCACAGGTAGGTAGATCGGTAGTTACTTGATATTTCAACAGCAACAGTCTGTGAAACAGTCGATCTTGTCGTAACAGACTAAAAGTATTTTTCTAACATTTCAAACAGAACTAAAGTGCAACTTACCCTGTTGGTGCTGAAGTTGATCCTACCATCCAGGAGGGTGACATAGATGTCGGAGGTTCCGGCACAGTGCCCTAATGCAGGTACATTAAAGAGGGTAGGCAGCTGGTTCACCTTGCTGTTCACCGCCAGGTGCACCTTGTCAATGCAGGAGTTGCTGAAGATGCCCTCGATGGAGTCAAAGACCTCTACTATAAACACTGGCACAGTCACTGAAACCAAGGACGCCACACTGAAGGCCATCAGTCAGCCGAGAGGGATGCTGATTGTGTCAGCAAGAATTATGTGCTACCTAAATATTAGCCCGGGGGAAGTTTTACTCTAGAGTATAGTATAGGATAGGATTAAACACACTGGTAGAATAGAGAGAGAGAATTAGAGATAAAAAATAGGGTGGGATAATATTCACTCTTACAATTGCACAAACTACATTCGTCTTTGGTGTGGACTTCACACGTTCGAATCCAGCTGGTGACACATTTTTCGTCCAGTTGTTCTATCATCAAAGTCAACGATAGAAAAACAGTTCAGTCAGTTGCATGATCAAAGATGTGGAGCCAAGGTTAATGGCCATGGTTATAATGCTGTGCTACTCCCCTTGCATACTGATGGTGTGGGAAGGAGGTGGGGTAGCCTAGTGCTTAAGCCTTCGCTTGTCATGCCAAGGGCCTGGGTTTGTTTCCCCACATGGGTAGAATGTGTGAAGTCCATTTCTGGGGTCCCCTGCCGTGATATTGATGGAATTATGCCCAAAGTGGCATAAAACCATACTCACTCACTCACTCACTCACTCACTCACTGAGGGTGTGGGATGTATTTGAAACATGATAGTCACTTAATGTCATCTTCTATCAATAGGTAACTTACCTTCTGGCAAAGATGGACTTGTAGTGATTGACGGGCCTTGTGTTGTTGGACCTTGAGTAGTTGGGCCTTGTGTTGTGGGACCTTGTGTTGTGGGACCTTGAGTTGTCGGGCCTTGTGTTGTTGGGCGTTGAGTAGATGGGCCTTGTGTTGGGGGACCTTGTGTAGTTGGGCCTTGTGTGGGACCTTGAGTTGTTGGTCCTTGTGTTGTTGGGCGTTGAGTAGATGGGCCTTGTGTTGGGGGACCTTGTGTAGTTGGGCCTTGTGTTGTTGGGCCTTGAGTTGTTGGGCGTTGAGTAGATGGGCCTTGTGTTGGGGGACCTTGTGTAGTTGGGCCTTGTGTTGTGGGACCTTGAGTTGTTGGGCCTTGTGTTGTGGGACCTTGAGTTGTTGGGCCTTGTGTTGTTGGGCCTTGAGTTGTTTGGCCTTGAGTTGTTGGACCTTGTGTTGTGGGACCTTGAGTTGTTGGGCCTTGAGTTGTTGGGCCTTGAGTTGTGGGACCTTGTGTTGTTGGGCCTTGGGTTGTTGGACCTTGTGTTGTTGGGCCTTGTGTTGTTGGACCTTGTGTTGTTGGGCCTTGTGTTGTTGGGCCTTGTGTAGTTGGGCCTTGAGTTGTAGGACCTTGGGTAGTTGGGCCTTGTGTTGCAGGGTCTTGAGTTGTTGGATCTTGAGATGTCAGCTTTTCTGTAGTAGGGCTTTGAGATGTTGGTAGCTGAGCCGTGGATGTTTGAGCTGCTGTTGGTGATTGTGAGGAAGGGCCCCCAGTAGTGGGTGCCTGTGTGGAAGGGCCCTGTGTTGTCTGGGATCCTGTAGTGGAACTTAGGACAGCCTGTGTTGTTGGCGTCAGAGGCCTTGTTGTGGTTTGTTCTGTGTCTGTAGTTGCTTCTGGTGCAGCAGGAGAGGTGACAGTGGTTGATGTTGGGATGAAGGTGATGGAGGTAGTAGGGATGGGCGTTGGTTCCAGCTCTTCCAGGCATTCTGCAGCAAAACAAACCAAGGTTCAAACATGGCACAAAGAAATGGAAGATATAGACATCGTTCACACTGTATGAATTGGAACAAAGGTTTCTGAATGTCATCTCTCAGACTTCAGACCAAAATACAAAGAAAAGTTTCAAATCACTATCTCACAAAATTCAGAAGGGGGCCACAAACATTATCTCTCACATAAAAGCACACAAATTAGAATACTATGACACTCTGTAACAATTAAGTGTTATATTTGGGATAACACTTCCTTAGTAAAGTACAGTGTCTAGAAATTTTTGGGTTGAGTCCCGATTTAAACCCACACTTCCAGAGCGAGGCACCTAATCGCCTGCACACAAAGTCAGCAATCTAACCAACTCAGCCACTGGCGATTCCACAAAAATGGGGTCGGGTACGTGGGGGGTGGGGGGTTGGGGGTTGGGGGTTGGGGTTTGGGGTTTGGGGGTTTGGGGGTTTGGGGGTTTGGGGTTAGGGGTGGATAATAAATCACTACTTACTTTTGAGGCACATAGGAGTGTTTTCTCCACAGGCTGAGTTGCCATTGTCTAGGATGAGCCCCGGTGGGCACTTCCACTGACTTGTGTTGGAGGAGATGCTGCCACTGACGGCGGACACAGCCGGGCACCCTAGTTCCGCAGACGCCGTGATGTCCATCATGCTCAGGTCTTGGAGTCCCACCAGAGCGGCAAGCACAGCACTACCACATTGACAGGCAGTAGCAATTGCCTCGCCATCGCGCACCTGGAACCCTACACTTCCTTGGATGCTTACCTGGAAGGCAGATATAAAGTCTCATGATTTGGTTGGGTAAAATCATTGAGCCATAATAAAATAAATTATACCACTCCACTTTTGGTAGCAATATTTTTACCTTTCCACGATACACGAATCTGATTCTCAAAATATGTCAAGTGTATATTTGAATATATTTTACATTTTGGTCTATCCCTATCAATAGTTGAGTCGTATTCCATTTTCATACGTTTGCCTCACGACCAAACACCCCACTTCATATAATGTTAATAAGTACAAAATGTGTGTGGACCTTTTCTTTTAATAATGCACAATAGTAGTCCTACAAAATATTTATTTCATACAAATCACACATTGACAGTTACCAACGCAGATGCATTAAACAGTTTGTTAAAAACATTTAAACATATATAAAAATAATAAATGCATGTCATCATACCAATCTCATTAAAATCAGACCAAAGTTCTCACTGCCGCTAAACAAAGATCTGAGGAGATCCCATTACGGGTCACGTCAGAACGACCTTTCGTGAACTTTGACCGACCACTGAAATGACTAACAAGAAGTCGACATCATCCAATTAGAAAGCAGCTTTATCGAGCTTTACAGCACTCGTTTCAACCTAGCGATTTCCATTTCAGACTACGCTTGAAAAATAAGTTGACACAGTTCCTGATTAAAAATTTTAAAACTGAACAAACGAACATTCTGGAATGTCTAATATATGGTTAAGATTGTATGGCAGGGCTTCCCATGTACTGTGCAATGCCTCCTCTGTTCAAATGATTATCCAACGGAAGCGAGAGATAGACGATAATTTTGCCGGAATCCGTCATATGGGCCGTAACTGTCGTTCGGAATACCCTGTGTTAACGTTTTGGAGGTTGCATGATTAGAAAACACATGTCACTTTCATGATCTGGTAAGCAACGCTTTGATTGGTCGAATGAAAGGTCGTTCTGATGTAACCCGTAATGGGATGTCCTCAGATCTTTGTTTAGCGATAGCGAAAACTAAGATCGGATTTTAATGAGATAGGTCATGATACATCATTAATAAATTAGAAAATTATGTAAATATGTCTAATAATTAATTTATTGTGACCCAACAGAATCTAGGGATAAGGGCATGTCAACATGTTGTCAAATCCTAATGGGGAATCATGTCGTCAGAATGTTTGATATGACACTTGAAACCGATCAGCAAGCCACAATTGACTTGGTTTATCATACTATGTGTCTCCCACTTGCCATTTTACAGAATTTCTAGTGAACTAGTTAATTCATAACAATACAGTGGGATGTGCAGGATTTCAAAAGCTGTACAATATTCCTGACGTCTCGAGGACAATGACATGATGTGCTCACTGGAACAGTTTGTTTCACACTTTGAACTATGTAAGAGTGAGTGAGTGAGTGAGTTTGGTTTTACGCCACTTTTAGCAATATTCCAGGAATGTGATGACACCAGAAATGAGCTTCTCACATTGTACCCGTGTTGGGATTCGAATCCGGGTCTTCAGCGTGACCACCAGACCGCTCTAGTTATTTAAGAAATAAACGATGAGTGGGAGTTGTTTATCGTACAATAAAACACTTCAGGGAGAATAAACAATGAGGGGCACATCCTTGTAGTATTTAGAGAATGATGACTCCCTGACTAGAATCCGATCGCTGCAAAGTTCATTTTATTAAAAGTAAGGATTAATTTGGTCTTTCCTGCATTTTCTCACAATTTTCACGTTGATTATCTGTACCTTTTCTCCCAGTACCGATTGTCATATCTATCACACTTTTGGAAGCAATCATTTTCCCACTGTGTTTATCTACATTGCCAAGCTACATCTGTGGGGTACAACTCTCTAGACACTTCAAAAATAACGTTGTCCAATTTACGACTTCATCAAGTTCAAGTGCATGTTCGTATCTCCAGAAATGACGCCATGATAGAACAATGTTTTATCGTGAAATAAACCACGCTTTGTATGCGATTTATCACGTAGCTCTCTTATATTTGTGTACTGCTGTAGGATACAGTCATGTCAACTCACCACACTGCCAGCTGCAGATCCATGGGTGGTCTGGTAGATGTTGATGACTGGCTGCCCATGGTCCGTACAGAGAAGCTGGAGTTGTGCCTTGTAAGCCTGTAGGTTCCTCACACTCTCCCAGCCATAGTACTCCACGCAGTGCTGGGAGATGGAGGCAGCAGCCTGGTAGTCCACGGACAGGGAGATGAGATAGTCCGGTTTCTCCAAGGAGATCCGCAGATGAGGGTCAGCGATGCATTCCAGGGGCCATGGATCTGATTCGGAATATTACAATAACCATTGATCTGTAGCAATATTTCACGAAGCCAGATCACCTAGTGGTTAATGGGTACCTGGTAGTATGAGATGCTGATGTGATTACATAATCTTCTAAAGCCAAACAGGCAAATTGGGTTGTATACTCCCCACGGTGCTGAGAATGTTTACTGATACTTAGGATACAATGGTATTCCCTTTGGTGGCCGTCTATTATTATTTGCGAGAAATCACTATTGATCCAACATATTAGAGAACAATTCAGATTTTTGTAGACTAAATAATGTTCAAACCAATGCATTAAGACGCCTGTTCACATGTGGCGTGGAGTAACAAGCTCCGTACCTGACAGCTGGTATCCTGGTCGGTCACACTGGAAGCTGACCACTGACCCGACAGGAAACGTCTCCCATGCACCAACAATGGAACCATAAGCCGGAGAAGACACTCGGGGACATGATCGAACTGGAATACAGCGGAACAAGTATTAATAACCCTCGATGATCAATCCCAGACAAACATCCTCTAGTCTGGGATCTTGGTGCGGATTCAAGTAAATTTCGCAAAACATAGATGGGGAGTATTGTTTGTTTGTTTGTTGTTTAACGCCACACTTAGTAATATTCCAGCTAATTGACAGTGGTCTGTAAATAATTGAGTCTGGACCAGACAATCCAGTGATTGATACCATGAGCATCTTAAGTAAGATATATAAGGTGAGTGAGTGAGTGAGTGAGTGAGTGAGTGAGTGAGTGAGTGAGTGAGTGAGTGAGTGAGTGAGTGAGTGAGCGAGTGAGCGAGTATGGTTTTACGCCGCTTTAAGCAATATTCCAGCAATAGCACAGCAGGGGACACCAGAAATAGGCTTCACACATTGTATTCATGTCAGGATTCTAAACCGAGTCTTCGGCGTGATGAGCGAACGCTTTAACCACTACGCTACCCGCCCGCCGCTGAGATATGTAGGCTGTAGTGAGCTGGAGGCATCTCTGTTTACACTTCAAATGTGACCCATCAGGAGAAAAGGGACCTTATGGGTGCTAGGATATAATAGTGCTGTGATGTCATAAAGAGGTCCATTTGACATCAACTTACTTCCGTAAAAATCGCCATGCGAGGGGACTTTACAAAACTATCTTCCTCGTGTTCGTTCGTAATGTCATCAAAATATTATTTCAAAATATTTCAGCATATCCAGTTATGCCTACTCTCAATTAATCAGACATCATATCTAAAAACTGGAATTATTATATAAACAGTTATAAGTCTGAAAATTGGACTTTGCAGGAAATGAGTCCAAATATTTGATACTATGTATCTCTGTTATTGATATGTATCTAAGCTTGTGAATTTAATTTTTGTGTTCTTAAGATACTGTAGTTTTAAAATATAATGAGAGTCAAAATGTGATTTTTCACCCATACGGTCCCTTATTTCATGGTTAGTCACATATCATACCAAGGCCATACCATTTATTTCCCTTCTTCTAAAGATTTCTTGGTCAAAATACAAGAAGACAACAGATGAAGAAAAGGATGTGGTCAGAATAGATTTGCATAAATTTTCTAAAATTATATTTCAAAATAAAGTTTTGAATGAATTTTAAAAAAAGAAATTTTCAATCAAACTGCACTGATTGTTTGTATTATTTCTTATGAAAGACTTTCTTGTGTATTTGGACACTGTTCCTCCGTGGGTCTCTCCACCTACCATTACAGTGGGTTCTGTTGCCGCTCCAACTACCCGCCGCCTGACACGTCCGCACTGCCGAGCCATCCAGGATGTAGCCACACAGACAGGTGAAGGTCGCGACAGACTTGTAGCCTGTGCCAGAGTAGTGAACTTCCCCATTCTCAGGTCGGGCTGGTACACCACAGTCCACAGCTGAAGAGAAGGGAGGTAACTGCATTAGGGTTGTTAATTACTTTCTTGTTTCTCAGGAGTTTAACCCATCCATTATACAGTTTTACACTCTCAAGAGCTGTCTTTTCAACTCAAATTTCGTTTTTGTACCATATTCTGAGTTTTTGCACACATTATGCTTTTCACAGTGTATCAGATTTGCATGAAAATCAATATCCTTATGTCACCTTGACCTCAGGCCTGTTTCATCATACTTCAGGCTGTAGAGGGTGTGGCCAAAGAGGTCATGCAGTACATTAGAATCAAGTTCAGAGTTTTAGATTTGTAACCCACAAAAGAAAAAAAATTAAACATAAAGTCCCCGTTAGTTGCCATTTTTGAAAACATCATGTGATATGATACCTGTTCAATACCGGGGTTCCACACAATGATAATCAAAGACTGATTATAGGTCAATGGCTGCTTATGTTGAGCATGTTTTACAGCAATGGAGTCTTGCACGTGAACTCACCGGCATGCGCATTAAAGCCATAGTAGTTACTGGCTCTTGACCAATACTATGATATCATGAGAAACAAACATGGTCTGGCGCCTGTTTCACAAACTGATCTTAGTTGTATGGGTGTCTTAAGTCTAGTTTAACCATAAGAGTTCTACCTGATTGGGCACCTTTTGATGATGCGAGGATATGGAACTAATAGGTCAAATGTCATAACCGGGATAAAGCTGAGATTCAAACCAATCATCAGTGGATCCAGACACAGCTAAGGGATGCAACTCTTGACAAGTCCCTTCACTTCATCAGACCACTGGGGCACACATGTCCCCTAAAAACACTTTGAACTTATAGTGAGTGAGTGAGTGAGTGAGTGAGTGAGTGAGTGAGTGAGTGAGTGAGTGAGTGAGTGAGTGAGTGAGTATGGTTTCACACCGCTTTTAGCAATATTCCAGCAATATCAAGGCAGGGGACACCAGAAATGGGCTTCACACAATGTACCCATGACAGGATTCGACCCTGGGTTTTCGGCGTGACAAACGAATGCTTTAACCACTAGGCTACCCGACCGCCCCCTTTGAACCTATACCAGATATTTATATATTATAGAAATGACACAGCCAATATATATTCAATGTCACAAACTTTCACAAGATTTACCTTTTCACATTCAACCCTTTCAAGAAAGCAATCTATGTTTAGACATTCCTACCTTCACATGTTGGCTTGTCTCCGGACCAGTCATGTCTGGGGATGCCGGTGGTTGGGTCCACTTGAAGCTCACAGAATCGTTGGTCTGGTCCCACAAGGATGAAGCCAAAGTCACAGGAGTAGCTGACGATGCCGCCCGGCTCCAGGCTGGAGAACACCACGTCACCATTTGGAGGGTTGTCGGGGTGGGGGCATAGTGTTGCTAAATACATCGAAACAAAATTTTAGAAGGTATTTTTTAATATCTGTTTAAAAGACTATTAATCAACTGAAGTTGGTCCCATGAAACTGATTTTTTTCCCTTGAACATTTTTCATCCTTTAAATTAGGATTCAGAAAATGGGCTTTTTAGGATAAATTCATAAATACAGTACATGTAGTTCCAAAAACTAAAAGATTTGAAGATATATGTTAAGATTGAATCACATGACTGGATATAAATCACTGATAAATTTTTTCCATTTGTTTAGCCTCATGGGGGGATATTTTGGCCCCCATTAAATGAAAACCATTTTATGCATGATAGGTTCCCCTCCAACAAACAAATAATATATTTTTGTGATCTAAATGGTTCAAATCTGGCTACATTGAATTTAGTTGCATGTTAATTTTGACTTTGTTACTGTATGATTTCCAGGATCTAATCCCATTTAACAATGATCAGACTGCAGCACACACTTTCAGTTTACAATTGTGTATACAGTGATCCCTAGCTATTGTGCTCTTCGATAAAGCGCTACCTCGGTTACTCAGTACTTGTGTAATGAATTGTGATTGGCTCTTCACTCATAGCGTCTGTTACTACCATTATCGATCGATATTTTCATGTAAGTAGACTACATTCACATTGAATGTGACAGTTAAGGCTTGTAAATAATAACAAACGGCGAAAACATAATGGATTTATATTTTTACACTATGAACGGTAAACAACTTGTATCATTGCAATGTGCGAGACAAGGCGAAGATCGTGAGATTGGCCGAGCGTGCTCCCCCGCCTCGGCCTCGGTTAAACGGCTCATCGTCTATAACGCCCACCAATTATTTGGACCCCATAGGTAGCGTTGTAGCGAGGGACCACTGTATTTGAAGTCATTGATCAATCAGGGACTTTCTATTTTCATCTCGATCCTTCTGCCAGTACATACCTGTACACCTTGTGACAGTCGCCGTCCAGCCTCCCGACAGCTGACAGGTGACATTGCCCGGTCCGTCAGGAACGTAGCCTGGCTGACAGTCAATGTAGGCCACAGCCGGGTGGATGTACTCTCCACTGGGGAGAGGCGTTCCTCTTATGAACACCTTCCCATCCGTCACATTGAACCCAGAACATGTGGCTGGAGAAAAGAACAATTGATGAGTTTCCTAACAGATGTCAGTGAATCAACATAATAAATTTGTTTGTTTGTTTGTTGTTGACTGCCGCACTCAGCAATATTCCAGCTATATGACGGCGGTCTGTAAATAATCGAGTCTGGACCAGACAATCCAGTGATTGACATCATGAGCATCGATCCACGCAATTTGGATACGATGACATGCATCAACCAAGTCAGCGAGCCTGACCACCCAATCCCGTTAGTTGCCTCTTACTCCAGCTATGTGACAATGGTCTGTAAATAAGAAGTCTAGAAAAGACAATCCAGTGATTGAAATCAAGAGCATCGATCCACGCAATTTGGATACAATGACATGCATCAACTAAGTCAGTGAGCGTGACCACCTCTTACGACAAGCATAGTCACCTTTTATGACAAGCATGGGTTGCTGAAGACTGAAGACCTACTCTCTACCCGGATCTTCACAAGTCGACATATTGTGTACATTTTATGTAAAAATGATGACATTAAAGCACATCTTTGTTTTTTAGCTTTATCTACTGACTCAAAACTTAATACATGTGACAACGACAGTCATTTCTTCATGTTTGAAGCTTTTAAACTTCAGTACTTTCTGGAACAAATTATTAAACAAAATAATTCCCCCCCCCCTCCCCCCCACCGACCCAATTATGAAAACATCAAATGGTCATTTATTCAGGAGACATATGTAAGCAGTGACATTAGTGTGTACCTATGCAAGTCTTCCCTGGAACAAGGAGTTGGCCGTCGATGTTGGCGGAGTCTGGTCCAGGGTAGAGGAAGTAGCCGTCGATACAGGAACAGCTCATGTTGCCGGGACTGTTGTTACAGAATTGGTTACACCCCCCATTGGTGGAATCGCATTCATTGATGTCTGTCATAGAAACAATTTGTCATTAGAACACAATACGGCATGGATGGATGGACCAGCTTCCTAAACCAATGCTTCCTTAAATGTTCTGAAAATGGCCTGGTTAATTGCATACACCGTATTCGACGTAATAAGCGCCCAGTGCGCTCTCAAAATTAGAAATAGGGGGCTCTTATTGGAATATTATTTTGGTGGAAAAAAAAAAAGGGGTGAAAGATCGTAAATTTCGTGGTTTATGCTGACAGCCTGAAATGTTTATATACGACAGATATATTTTTTCAGAATTTAATTGCCCATAATTAAGGGTGCATATAACACACGAGTGTATTATACACGAATAAATAAGTCTTGTGTACATTGATCAATCGGAAGGGGTGCCATTTGGAATTGTTCACTAGCCAAAATATTAGCAAATATCGCTGTAGGCGCATATTAGAGCAGGGCGCTTATTACGTCGAATACGGTAGTTCAGAAATCCCAACTGAATGATGTGTTCAAAGAGTTGATGTCTGTGATTCATCCATGCAAACAGAATAATGATAACACTGGCTTTCTCTGTATCCCTTTCAAAGTTAAGTAGTATATTTGAAAAAAATGATCCTAAAATACAAATTAATAAACTTTAAAACAAAATATAAAGATTTAAGTTTGGTGATGCTTACTGGTTCTTTCTCTTTATCATTAATTTGAAGGTTACTTCTTTGTATTGATTCATATGTCATACATGCAGTTTTACAAAAGAGTTGAGAAAATTGGGAACATTAAGCTCACTACACTGGTCCAAACAGGACCAGTCTCTGTCATATTTGGGCGTTGGGGTAGCCTAGTGGTTAAAGCATTTGCTCATCCCGCCAAAGACCCTGGTTTGATTTCCCACATGGGTTCAATATGTGAAGCCAATTTCTGGTGTCCCCCACCTTGATATTGCGGGAATATTGCTAAAAGTGGCGTAAAACCATACTCACTCCATCATATTGTAATACAGTGATACATCGATACAACGCCCTTCGATGTACCGCTTCCTTGGATATAACGCGGGGTACACCTTGCCTCCCAAATTTCATCAAGAATTTCCATAAAGACTAATAATCCAATAAAAGTGACAAATATACTGATGAGATTTTATTCCCAGTCAAAGATTTTATAAAACAATTATGTTCATGATAATCAGCTGCATGTGATCGTAACTGTTGTGGATTTTACTTTCATTATGAATGGTATGAAAAACATAAATAGAAATTTACTCACATAAAAGAAATCATAAAATCATAAAATAAAATTAAGCTTTGATCGATTTAATTCCCAAGTTGTGATTGGTTAGTCAACACATGGAATGTTGGAAACCGCATTTCGGAGCTCACAACACCGGTTTAGATTGGATCAGTCTCCAGTAGATTGTTATAACACATAACTCATGTTTCACATTGCCTTAAACAAAACAACATACACAATGTGCAACAAAAATATCACAATTTCAAAATTTGTAAAAGAAAGTTGCAAAATAGAGCCTTGTTTCCAGAGGTTGTAATTATGCATTGGGATTATACCATGTTGGCATGAAGTAACAAACATATCTCCGATTGTTTATATCATTTTTTTAATTCATATCGGATACAGGGACAGCTTCCAGTCTAGACATTGGTAAAGATACAGTGTTTTGGAAATGACTGGTGAGTGATTTTTGGTTTAACACCACTTTGAACAGTATTTCAATTTATCACAGAGCGTCAGCTTGATGTGGAAGGAAGTGATTCAGGTCTTAGATGTTTACCACTTTGATAAAACCTAAAAAACAGGATATGATGCTTGCAAATATAGAAACATAATCAGGATGAAATCTGGGATTGACACCAACGATCATAGGTTCCTGGCACAACTAAGGGAGGTAACCCTGCACTGCAATTGTGCCACTTTACATGGTGAAGGATGATGACATCAATGAGGGAGATGATGACTTCAGGGAGCTACAGCACCTCACCTTCACAACGGGTCCGGTCGCCATCAGGGTGTTGGTAGCCAGCTTCACACTGGCACGTGAATCCCCCATCCTGATTCACACAGCGGTGGAAGTCACACGTGTTTAGGCCTTCTTCTGTACACTCATTGATATCTGCAAGAATGGAACAACAGTGGCAAGTAAATATCAACATATTATCAGCATTAGAAATTGGCACTAGTCCTGTAGTCCTTGCAAAACTGCCAAATAGTTAAGGTATCATAAGGACTAGTAGAAATTTGCCATTTTTAAGGGTTTTGCTATATGTTATCATTATAAGGACAAGAGGAATAAAAATGTTAGTTTCTAGCGCTGATTATTTTCTTGACTTCTTAGAAATTCTAAACTCACATTGATGCAATTAGGAATATGTAGGGTATTTTGGTTCTCCATTATTTTATTTTTTCCCGTTAAATTTGTTATCAGCATCAGCATAAATGACAGTAGGGTTTTGACAAATATGCACTGTCCCCGGCCATGCATTTTATTACCAAAAGTCCACAAAATCTGTAAACCTTCTCATCACAAGTTAAAACAAATGATTTTTTATTGATTTTTCACTGGTTGTTAAGCACAGGAATGTGAAACGCTGATAAAAATAATGAATATAATATGCACTCATTACTACCAAAATTCCTCTTTCCGTATATAAATGCACTAGGAGTGAAATGCATCTCTCAGTAGTTCATGAATCATTCCCATATATTTCAACCAAAAAATCATTTATAGAATTATATGGTCAGTCTTAGTATGTTTTTTGTAACAGCTGCTCTTAGGAGCATAGAACCTAAATTAAATAGAACTATTTTTCTTCCGATGCATTGTTGCATATTGTCCATAACAAGTAAAGGACGGTTTAAGATTTAGGGACCTTTTTGTGCTGCTTGATTTGTCTGTTTTTAAGTTACTGACAACTCTGATGTTGGTATGAAATGGCTGACAACTAACTAGCCTTTTGTCCTTCTTATATGTGCAGGTTCTTGACTACTAGCAAGGATCAGTGGATGACAAAAATAAGTATGAAAAAATGAGCAAAACATAAAACATTTTTAAATTTAAAAAAATCCTCAAACTATGAGCAAATCTGTGACTTAAGGAAAACGTTTTGCCATCAGTTTTTACCGGTTTATCTACATAAAAATTAAAGATTGGTATCCTCTCTTACCTAGGCAAGCTGGTACATTCTTGTCATATAACCCATCCTCCTGACACAGGAGAACATTATCTTTGTCTGGCCTGTATCCATGGTTACAGTCGATACTAACTGACTCCCCGACTTTGACGGGGCCAGTCACATTAGGTCGGCCATTGGTCACTCCCTGAATAGCTGGACACTGGTCAGCTGTGGGAGAATTGTGGTTGGGCACGATTAGAAAAATGACAATAGTCTTTTTTCAAAATATAGGACATTTTGATAAAAAGAAATTCCAACACAATAATGAGAAACAATTTTTTGACTTTTCATGGATGTACACTATTCAACTGCCCAGTCTAGGAATGATTTATGTTCTCAAACAGAACCATCAGGTCCATGAATGAAAAAAGCAATAAACTGCATCAGCTTTCATCTGACTCTTGATCCATGGACTTACGCTGACATGTGGGCGCCACAGCAGACCATGTGCCATCCGCTGTGCAGTAAGCCTGTGCAGATCCAACCAGGTGGTAGCCATTGTTGCAGTAGTAGGTGATGACAGCGCCATAGTGGTTCTCTTCAGCGTCAACACGGCCGTTAACAGGTGCCTGCACCTTTGGGCATGTAACCACTGAAGGAGAAGAGAATATAAAATGTCAGTGCCAAAAAATAATCACTGTCGATTATCTGCCCAACAGACTCCACTGGGTGTAAGAGTCATAATAGTGATGAAAAGCCATGGTAATGTAAAAACTGTCCTCAGGTGAAACTGGTTTGATTTTGTTTTTTGATTTCAGACAAAGATCTTTTTATTTCTTATTAATAGGGCTTCTCTACACACAAAAGAAATTGATTCTTGTAGATTTAAGTAAATTTATTACAAAAATAACTGATTCAGGCTCCTTCAGGAAAGAAAATCAAATTTGTAAAGTTTTATGCATACCGTCGATATAATTATCATATACCAATCAATGATATGAGGTATTTTGCATGTGCAATAGCACCAACATGGATATGGTCATAACACAGGGGGTGTAATAACCAGACCCCTGGCCCTGGCTGATATGGCTAGTCAATGCATTTTGAATGGGTGATCGATATCAGCCTGGGTGGAAAGAAATTAGAGTTACTTCCCTTGGTGTATTGTCTGCTCCAAACAAGGATAACATATTTTGCAGATATAAATGCGAAACGGACACGAGTATTTGACTCCAATTGGGAAGTCCTACTTGAATTGACTATATTATTCTGAATGACATTGGGATGTTTAACACCCAAAGTATTCAGTTTATATCATTGGTACAGTTTTTGTTAACTTTGCAGATTTACAGTAACACTGTTCTTCTATGACTGAAACAATGTCTTAAATCACCATATGAGCATTTTGCATGCTGTCTCACAACCGCAGCAAAGTCTTGCAGCGAAAGGACTACTCTCCCCTGTCTTAGTACTCAGAAGCTTCTTTGAAATTTCAATTACAATAGTCTTCTGATTCAATTCAATATTTCGAGGGCTCACTCGGATGAGGCTGCAATTCTCAATGCAGATCAAGGCCGAACTCTTGGTCAGAAGAGATATTTGATTGTCTGTTGATTTCAAGCTCATGACTGAGAGTAATACTGTGTTAAGTTAGTGACAAGATAGATGGAGCTGGTGATGTCACTTCTGAAACGTGGATATCGTGGTGAATGACTACAGGGTACTCATCTTAACAGAATGGAGTCAAAAATAAAATAAAACTATCCCTGGATGAAATCTGGCATGAAACAACCTTGGATGTGAAACTTAGACAAGAACAATGGCAGATGTCTACACTCACATTCACAGACAGGAAGTGGGGACCAGCCCTGCTCACTGCATGTGACCTGGTTCTGACCAATCAGATTGTAGCCCTCCAGACACTGGTAGATTGCCTCCCCTCCAAATGTGGTCTTGTCAAGAGTAACAAGGACAGCATTGGCCGGCACGCCAGGGGAACCACAGTCGATCTCTGAAACATACAAAAGGTTTTCAAAATATTCAGTCTTCCTTTGTAATAGAGTTGCCTCCCTTAGGTGTGCCTGAATCCTATGATCATGTGTTAGATTCCTGGTTTGACGTCATTATGTTTCTAGGTTTGTCAACACCATACCATGTTCATGGGTTTCACCAAAGTGGTATACATCTAAGACCTGCAACACATAATGTTTTTACACACCAAATGTCACTGAAATATCGTTCAAAGCGACATTAAACCCAAGTCACTCTCAATGACCTTTGTTCATGAATCAGGTACTGGTGACCAAAGCACTTTTAATGTCGTAAGGTGACACTATAAGCAGGTGCAGAATCACAACGGGGACATGGGATTTTATGCGTCCCATGTTTAATACCACGAATATGACATTGTAAAAGATTTCAAACAAATTCAAAATGAATAGAAAACAGCTGTTCGATTGAGCTGAGGTTAGCTTGCTATGTCACAAGACTTCCACTGACTCGGAAAAAGCGTGCAGGTTTTTGCTTTGAAGCAGGTTATAAAGAATTTATTCTGTCTTTTAGAAATCCATGTGCAGCCTGATTTGCTAGTGGCGGGGTATAAGAGATTTATTCCCCCGCTGAGAAATTTTTTCCCTTCCAAGGCGGGTTACACAGTATTTTATCAAGATCACATGGACCAATCAGATCTCATCATTCTGACACGGAGGTATGATAACTTCATTTATTTTTTAGTTTTCGGGTTTTTACTGACCAGATCTAAAAGCCACAATAGTTTACTTTATATTTATTTGCCTGAAAACTCCACCTTTGGTGGATTGGAACAATCAGAAAATTTAAACTAATTTTTGACCTTCTTAACAATAATTCATCAAAGCTTTCTAAGATGTACATTTATATACATCACTGTAAAAATACTTAAGATTCTTTACTTAAAACATTAGCATTTTTTTTTTCCTTATAAACTGACCCAAACAACTTCAGGCTAAAAAATAGTACCACAGGTACTGTAGCTCACCTAGATATGTAGACAACACTTTCAATTGTGAGTGAGTGAGTGAGTGAGTTGGGTTTAACGCCGCTTTTAACAGTATTCCAGTTATATCGCGGCGTGTCAGCTTAATGTGGGAGGAAAGCCCGAAGTGAAGCAGGTCTCAGACGTTTACCACTTCGGTGAAACCCACGAGCACGGGTATGGTGCTGACAAACCTAGAAACATAATCGGGGCGAACCTGGATTCGAACCCACAATCATAGGTTTCTGGCGTGCCCAAGGGACGCAACTCTGCACAGCGAATCGCGGCGCCTTAGACGACTGGGCCACACGTGCCCCCCAGTTTCAATTGTGAACAAATACAGACACTAATAAAAAGTTGCTGGCAGCATTGATATTCAACTGAGGGCTAAAAATGAACACTAAATCTAGAGATCTTTGAACAAAATATGATGTCATCACAAGGAGTAACATGCCAAGGTTTGGCTTCACAGCCAAGGTTACTCACCTATACATACAGGTAGTTTATCTGGCCGCCAAAAGCCCCCCATATCACAGATAACATTAGCAGCCCCCTCACGAAGGAAGCCCTCATCACAGAAGTAGCTGACAACGGTGCTGTACGCCGTCTCGGTTGTGTTGATGTTCAATGGACTGGACACATCCAGAGCAGGGCAGTCTGAGTAAAACAGTGATATCATATAAGAAATAATATCAGAATTGTTCCAGAAGAATTATCAATGAATAAGTAAGTTTTCTAATTTTTTGATTGACTAAATGGTGCTTGTGTACAGTAAACTACGGTTATAACGAATTCAAAGGAACCACTAATTTTACGTCGTTATATGCATATATACAGGGTGTAAACAGCACATTTATGTGACCCAAAAACATTTCGTTATATCCATCAGTGTTCGTTATAAACTTAGTTTACTGTAGTTATTTTGGTTCTACTTGACAAACAGGAAAGCTTGGTCAACCATCTTTTTCCAATCTAATTCCAATGATCAGCTATTTAAATTTATCTTGAGGCACCATATTTTGTTAAATTAAAACTGAATTGCTTTTGTATTTGATGTACAAAGTGTCTTTAGTGTATTTACCAAATGAAATGGCTGCAGTCCATCCAGGTCGTGTGATTCGTTCATCTGTGGTAAAACGCACAAAAAACTCTCCCACGCCAGTCCGCGATGGCCTCGGTGATATTCTCCCTGAGTGTATGCTGGCATGTGAACCTGTCACTTCCTGACTAGTGTTATACACCTGCCAACAAGAGATCAGTGTGAATATACTGAGTGTATGCTGGCATGTGAACCTGTCACTTCCTGACTAGTGTTATACACCTGCCAACAAGAGATCAGTGTGAATATACTGAGTGTATGCTGGCATGTGAACCTGTCACTTCCTGACTAGTGTTATACACCTGCCAACAAGAGATCATTGTGAATATACTGTGTGTATGCTGGCATGTGACCCTGTCACTTCCTGACTAGTGTCATACACCTGCAAGCAAGAGATCAGTGTGAATATACTGTGTGTATGCTGGCATGTGACCCTGTCACTTCCTGACTAGTGTTATACACCTGCCAACAAGAGATCAGTGTGAATATACTGAGTGTATGCTGGCATGTGACCCTGTCACTTCCTGACTAGTGTTATACACCTGCCAACAAGAGATCAATGTGAATATATTGAGTGTATGCTGGCATGTGACCCTGTCACTTCCTGACTAGTGTTATACACCTGCCAACAAGAGATCAGTGTGAATATACTGTGTGTATGCTGGCATGTGATCCTGTCACTTCCTGACTAGTGTTATACACCTGCAAGCAAGAGATCAGTGTGAATATACTGAGTGTATGCTGGCATGTGATCCTGTCACTTCCTGACTAGTGTTATACACCTGCCAACAAGAGATCAGTGTGAATATACTGAGTGTATGCTGGCATGTGATCCTGTCACTTCCTGACTAGTGTTATACACCTGCCAACAAGAGATCAGTGTGAATATACTGAGTGTATGCTGGCATGTGAACCTGTCACTTCCTGACTAGTGTTATACACCTGCCAACAAGAGATCATTGTGAATATACTGTGTGTATGCTGGCATGTGACCCTGTCACTTCCTGACTAGTGTCATACACCTGCAAGCAAGAGATCAGTGTGAATATACTGTGTGTATGCTGGCATGTGACCCTGTCACTTCCTGACTAGTGTTATACACCTGCCAACAAGAGATCAGTGTGAATATACTGAGTGTATGCTGGCATGTGACCCTGTCACTTCCTGACTAGTGTTATACACCTGCCAACAAGAGATCAGTGTGAATATATTGAGTGTATGCTGGCATGTGACCCTGTCACTTCCTGACTAGTGTTATACACCTGCCAACAAGAGATCAGTGTGAATATACTGAGTGTATGCTGGCATGTGATCCTGTCACTTCCTGACTAGTGTTATACACCTGCCAACAAGAGATCAGTGTGAATATACTGAGTGTATGCTGGCATGTGAACCTGTCACTTCCTGACTAGTGTTATACACCTGCCAACAAGAGATCATTGTGAATATACTGTGTGTATGCTGGCATGTGACCCTGTCACTTCCTGACTAGTGTCATACACCTGCAAGCAAGAGATCAGTGTGAATATACTGTGTGTATGCTGGCATGTGACCCTGTCACTTCCTGACTAGTGTTATACACCTGCCAACAAGAGATCAGTGTGAATATACTGAGTGTATGCTGGCATGTGACCCTGTCACTTCCTGACTAGTGTTATACACCTGCCAACAAGAGATCAGTGTGAATATATTGAGTGTATGCTGGCATGTGACCCTGTCACTTCCTGACTAGTGTTATACACCTGCCAACAAGAGATCAGTGTGAATATACTGTGTGTATGCTGGCATGTGATCCTGTCACTTCCTGACTAGTGTTATACACCTGCAAGCAAGAGATCAGTGTGAATATACTGAGTGTATGCTGGCATGTGATCCTGTCACTTCCTGACTAGTGTTATACACCTGCCAACAAGAGATCAGTGTGAATATACTGAGTGTATGCTGGCATGTGATCCTGTCACTTCCTGACTAGTGTTATACACCTGCCAAAAAGAGATCAGTGTGAATATACTGAGTGTATGCTGGCATGTGATCCTGTCACTTCCTGACTAGTGTTATACACCTGCCAACAAGAGATCAGTGTGAATATACTGAGTGTATGCTGGCATGTGATCCTGTCACTTCCTGACTAGTGTTATACACCTGCCAACAAGAGATCAGTGTGAATATACTGAGTGTATGCTGGCATGTGATCCTGTCACTTCCTGACTAGTGTTATACACCTGCCAACATGAGATCAGTGTGAATATACTGAGTGTATGCTGGCATGTGACCCTGTCACTTCCTGACTAGTGTTATACACCTGCCAACAAGAGATCAGTGTGATATACTGAGTGTATGCTGGCATGTGAACCTGTCACTTCCTGACTAGTGTTATACACCTGCCAACATGAGATCAGTGTGATATACTGAGTGTATGCTGGCATGTGATCCTGTCACTTCCTGACTAGTGTTATACACCTGCAAGCAAGAGATCAGTGTGAATATACTGGTGTAAGGTCATTGTACCTTTAGTATGTTTGCTTTGTAATTTTGTTGTTTAATGCTGCTCTCAGCAATATCCGAGCTATATGAGAGCTGCTGGTAACTAATCATGTCAGGACCAGACTAACAAGTGATTGATGTTATGATATGTCTAATGCCTTTGGGGTTTGATGACATGCAATCAACCAAGACACGGATCTTGACACACTGATCCACGCTGTCGCCTCTTATGACAATTTGACAATGCTTGTTGTAATAGGTGACTAACAGGATTGGGTTGATGCATGTCATCGTATCCCAATTGTGTGGATCGATGCTCATGATGTGATTCACTGGACTATCAGACCGCCGTCATATAGCTGGAATATTGCTGAGTTTGGCGTTAAACAACAAACAACAACAATAACAACAACAACAACCTATTCTAACACCGAATTCTCACTGATGAATAACTGTTGTCAACAAAAATTTAAGTCTTCAGCACCATATTTTTCAATTAACATTAATGCTGCAATTTGCTGAGAGTTGTGTCCCTTGTAGGACCAGAACCCAATGGCATCTCATTTTGCTGTGCAGATATCCTTCCCTTAGTCACACAAGGATCTGCTGATGTGTAACTGTAATACTGGTGTGAGTTGTGTCCCTTTGCAGGACCAGAACCCACTGACCACAAGTTTTAGAATTCAACATTATTCAAGATTTTGCTGTGCAGAGTTGCATTCCGTAGTCACACCAGGATCCACTGATCATAGGTTAGAATCCTAGATTCACTCTGATTATGATCTTTGCTTTGTCAGCTCCATACCTATGCATGAATGTTTCACAAAGGTGATAGCTGATGTGCTATGTTATAACTGAGTTACTGTTAACAGCAGCATCAGAAGCAACTCGCTCACTCACTCAACATTGTTTGCAGTTACATGGTTTCCAATACTTACAAATACTTGATCAATACTGGTTTCAGTATCAAAGTTCGCTTGAAATATGAGCGACAGTTCTCTCCTCTGAGGATCTAAGAGGCGCCAAAAACAGTTGATGTCATTCGGGTAGTTACTGACGCCGTACCCAGGAGATTCAATCTTCGCATGTCCAGACCGGATTGTTACATCACAACCTGAAACAGTTGCGATAGATATATTTGTATACAAAAACTGACCAACAATGGTGATCAAATAGATAGTCCATGTGTCTAAGTGTTGTGCAGTGCAATATAAACTATGAACTAAAATGCCAATTTCCCTTTCTGTTGTAAGCGGGAAACTAAACGTGAATCTTTTGATATTGATGAGGTAATTCAGATAATAAATACAGGGAACTTAACGTGAATCTTTTGATATTGATGAGGTAATTCAGATAATAAATACAGGGAACTAAACATGAATCTTTTTATATTGATGAAGTAATTCAGTAATAAATACAGGGAACTAAACATGAATCTTTTGATATTGATGAAGTAATTCCGATAATAAATACAGGGAACTAAACGTGAATCTCTTGATGTTGATAAAGTAATTCCGATAATAAATACAGGGAACTAAATGTGAATCTCTTGATATTGATGAGGTAATTCAGATAATAAATACAGGGAACTTAACGTGAATCTCTTGATATTGATGAGGTAATTCAGATAATAAATACAGGGAACTAAACGTGAATCTCTTGATATTGATGAAGTAATTCAGATAATAAATACTGGGGACTAAACATGAATCTCTTGATATTGATGAGGTAATTCAGATAATAAATACAGGGAACTAAATGTGAATCTCTTGATATTGATGAAGTAATTCAGATAATAAATACGGGGAACTAAACATGAATCTTTTTATATTGATGAAGTAATTCAGATAATAAATACGGGGAATTAAACATGAATCTCGTTCCTAAAAAGATGAACAAAGGTAAAAGTAACAACATAAACTTAATATGATATTCAAAGTCTATTTAGACTATCAATAGTCTAGCTCTTTTGTAGCTTGCTATGGTACGCCCTATTGTGACGACCTATCTAAATGAATGTGTTCTACCCTACGTCCTTCAAATCTGTTGAACGTCGCGACGACATATCATGCCAATTTGCCTCGTTTTGCACATGCTCAGACAGCACATGCCATGTCATACTTTTGTTTTCTCTGCCAAGCAAGTTTCATTCCAGCTGTCTGTTCATGCTAATGTAGCAGGGCGTGGAGTCATTCCACAGATGACATCCTTACCTTGTCAGCTTGCTGACAGGGTTAACCTCTTTGGTCATGTGGACAAGGCGTCCGACCTTGAATCAGAAGGTCCGTGGTTCGAATCCCATCACGGGACTCAGAAATTTGATGGCTGCTACACTTAACATTTCTTCAGATCACTAAGTTTATTCATAAAAGCTATGAATGTGGTATGAATTATGAACAAAACACCAGGACATGAAACAATATGTCTAGCCATTGATTATTTACTCACATGTCATAATTGTCATATATTAATAGCTTTCTTTTTGTATTTAATATACCGTAGTCGACGTAATAAGTGCCTCGCTCTAATAAGCGCCCACAGCTATATTTGCTAATATTTGGCTAGTGAACAATCCCAATTTGCACCCCTTCCGATTGTTCAATGTACACAAGACTTATTTATTCGTGTATAATATGTGTGTTATATGCATCCTTAATTATAGAAATTAAATTCTGGAAAAATATATATGTCAAATATAAACATTTCAGGCTGTCAGCATAAAACCACGAAATTTACGATCTTTCAACTCTGTTATTTTTCACCAAAATAATATTCTAATAAGAGCTCTCTATTTCTAATTTTGAGAGTTCCCTGAGCGCTTATTACGTCGAATACGGTATTTACACTCTTCTTGGGTTTAGTCTAATGGATTTTCTCAGCCAATGAGTGGATATTTTTTAAACTAATCCTGCTTCAATGCTGTTCAGGTATCTTCTAATTAGCACATGTTTGTGTGCTGCCTCAAGGGAGTCACATGTTGCATAACCTCATGACACTGATACATGTCTAAGTTACAGAAAGCGAGATGTTGCACATCTGTGCATTATTCGCTGCAGGGGAGGTCATGTATACCTGATGCCTGCATTCAGTCAGTAAGAAACGATGTGACAAGTCATACATGTAAGCAAGCAGAAACAGCTACTTTGGGTAATTGTGCACACCGTTGTTATACTTGCGGTTTTCAAATTTCATGCATGTTTGTTTGTGTGCAATTCAACATTAATGAGGTCATGGCGATGTAGTCTGTGTGTATTACATAAATACTCAGCTTATCCAGATCTCTGAAAACACCACCAGATCTGACTCATTTTAAGGTTAAAGCTATTAAAGTGATTAACCCTAACAAAGATTATGCAGGAATGCTTCACTGCCTATGCTGTATGGGGTATAACAATAGCAAAATGACTTCTCATTGAAATACATTGTTTTTCTAGCTGCTTTTTTTATGTCATACAACTATAGGTCTATGATAAGGTTCTCTTTGGGCCACATAATGTGCAGGGGTGGTCGGGTAGCCTAGTGGTTAAAGTGTTCGCTCATCACGCCGAAGACCCGGGTTCGATTCCAGACATGGGTACAATGTGTGAAGCCCATTTCGGGTGTACCCCGCCGTGATATTGCTCTAATATTGCTAAAAGCAGCGTAAAACCACACTCACTCACTCACATAATGTGCACTGTAAAGTAATGAGGAAAAACTATAGAAAGTGTTATTCAAGTCATCTGATGTGTTCATTGAATGAGAATTAATGGTAGACTTTTCCTTTTGCAACACTTGCATGTTTGGACATATGACAATATGTTGAGGTGAGGGTAAAATGTGTCAAAAGGTTAAGTTTTTTCGTTAGCTTTTCAGGAAGAGTATTTTTCAATATTTAAAAGTTGAACATGTCTTTGGATTATAATCCCAAAGAGTACAAACATTTCGTAAGAACTTGAGTCATAAACCTGCTCAAAGTAAGATCTTCTTGCCATTGAATATGGCCATGTGCAATACTATTATCAATGCTCACTCAACCATCCACTGACTGATCTTAGCGCCATGGGCCGATCTTAGTGCCATGGGCCGATCTTAGTGCCATGGGCTGATCTTAGCGCCATGGGCTGATCTTAGCACCATGAGCTGATCTTAGTGCCATGGGCTGATCTTAAAGCCATGGCCCAATCTTAGTGCCATGGGCCGATCTTAACATCATGACTACCATAAGTGGAAGAAGTCTCACAGACTGTTTCAGTACATTTGCTGCACCATTTATTTATTCATTCACATTGCTGTAACATATAGTTGATTCACTCACTCACTCATCACTCAGTCAGTCACTCATTCAATACCACATACCGCTGCTGTAGGTGGCGTTGAAGCCTCGGAGGACGTAGGCAAAATCGGTCTTCATCCTCACAAACAGACTCCGGCCACTGGACATGATGATCTTTGGCAGATTGTCACCGGTGAATCTCTCGAACAGTCCATCATCTTCATTGGACCCATCTCGGACCTCCACCCAATCATATGGACTCTCCAACTCAAAATCTTCAAACTGAGGACAGAATACACGCTCGTCACAAGTGAACATTTACACAGTTCAACAGACATCACAATACCATCATCTGCTTAGGATAAAGGTGCTTGACGCCTTGCAACTAACTATGAAGAGTTGCATCCCTTGGTCATGCCAGGATCTGATGGTTTTAGGTCTAAATTACAGAATCGGGATGCTTGATCCATCACCTTCTTACCATGGTAGACTATACATGCCTTGACAAACCAGAGATATCAGTCAGTTTGCTCATTACTTGACCTGTCAAGGCAAATCAGATGTGTCTCATTTATGGCGTTACTAAAGCATTTTTGTTATCCCAAAGTCGAACATCCATTGCTATCAAAATACAAATTCACTGCTTTTATTCTTCTTTTATTCTTTTCTAAATAGTCCCACACATTATTGCTTGTTAACATAAATTTTCCGGTACTCTAATCCACTTAGTTCAATGACGATATTATTCTTTTGGTGTTGGGAATGAAACTGTTACCAGTTGTGTGGAAAACCGGATAATTTGAACTTTTCAGGTCACTTCGAGTTTGATGGTGACAAACTGTATTTGAAGGTGAGATTGTGTTGTTATTTTGGAATGTGAACTACCTGCAGGGTGACAATATCTCCTGAGTTCTCTGCCGTGATTGTCCAGTCGCACACAATACTCTCGGGGTAATCGTTGGGGTATTGTGGTGAGGAGAACCACGCCTCCGGGCGTCTCGCACTCAGCTGCCCGCCACAGGAGTCTTGGGTCCCACTGAATGTTACTGGCGACAGAGTAAGACAAATCTTCAACACAGTGTGATATAATGAGAGAATATAAAAACACAACTATTCAAGCCATCATACTTTAGTTCCTAGTTACACTTTTACAGTCACAAAATATAGTTCCTGCTAGCTCTTAACTAAAACCTTGCTTGGGCACGCAGATCCCAAGGGTGGAGCTGCACTCAGCAATAGCCCAGCTATATGGCAGTGGCCTGTAAATAATCAAGTCTGGACCAGAAAACCCAGTGATTGACATTATGAACATCGATCTACGTACCTTGGATTCGATGACATGCATCAACCAAGTCAGCGAGTCTGACCACCCAATCCTGTTAGTCGCCTCTATCAACAAGCATAGTCGCCTTTCATGGCAAGCATGGGTTGCTGAAGACATATACTACACGGAACTTCATGGTACAGCAGCTAATCAGTACCAGACATAATTCCTGTTAGGTCTTAACTAAAACCTTGCTCAGGCACAGGCAGATCCCGAGGATGGGATCATCAATATTCCAGCTATTTGACAGTGGTCTGTAAATAATCAAGTCTAGACCAGATCCAGTGATCGATTATTCCGAGTCCCGTGATGGGATTCGAACCACGGACCTTCTTATCGGAGGTCCACATGACCAAAGAGGTTAACCCCGTCAGCAAGCTGATAAGGTAAGGATGTCATCTGTCGGATGGCTCCACGTCCTGCTTCATACTCCCTCGTCAACAGAAGGCACGTCACAGGCCGCATAGGTAATAGGGTACTGAGGCTTATTTTGCTCAAATTTAATATGAACATGCTGAGCCCCATGTTGGGCATCAATGTAGCGGCCATAAAATTTCTGAGTCCCGTGATGGGATTCGAACCATGGACCTTCTTATTGGAGGTCGGATGCCTTGTCCACATGACCAAAGAGGTTAACCCCGTCAGCAAGCTGACAAGGTAAGGATGTCATCTGTCGGATGACTCCACGCCCTGCTACATAAGCAACAATCCACACCAATTGGGTATGATGACACATAATCAACCAAGTCATTGAGCATGACCACCCCGATCCAATATGTCGCCTTAACCACCAGCATCGGTAACTAGGGAGCACTCCAAACTGTGTCACGGTCATTAAAATACCCAGCTAGATTACTGTAAAGAATCACTGACACATTGACACCTTGCATAACGCAGAATCAATATATACAAGTAGTGTCCCAAAGGTGGTAGTATTATTCTATAATGTCATTGACAATATTCACCTGCATTCCATGTTGCGTTAAAGCCATACTTTTCTTTGGAATGATCTGATTTGAATTTGACAAGAAGAAAGTTTCCTGAAGCGAGGGGCACGACTGGTCTCTTGTTTCCGGTAAATTTCCCCAGCTGGCGTGACGTGTCATCGGCACCGTCATACACCATGGCACTGTCATACTTGGATTCCACATCGAAGTTGACAAACTGGAAGAAATCAAGACAGTCACATTCAAGTGTTGACAACAATTTGAACATATCATAGGAACTTAAATATAAGTGTCGGAAACAAAAAACAATAGAGGTTTCCGAAAACAAGAAAATATAAGACCACTACTGTTTTCTGTTTTCAATCTGCAATCCTTATTTGAAGTTCACTTTCAGTAATCCAGTACATCCAGAGAACAGTATCCATCCACGTATTTCGAGGTAAGCGATTACACATCAGATTGGTAAATACATTCTAAATATAGTTTAAATGAATAGTCAATAGAAGAAGCAAAAATTCTACATTTCACACTGGCACTTTTCTAATTGGTTGACAATGATCAAATGAGGGTATAACCAACCACAACTGTATACTGCTGTGGCTATCCACCCACACAGCCTGGACAAGCTACTGACCTCTAACTGGACCTTGGTACCCACTGCGGCATCTATCCTCCACACACATACTCACACACAGCCTGGACAAGCCACTGACCTCTAACTGGACCTTGGTACCCACTGATGTGGCTATCCTCCACACACACACTGACACACAGCCTGGACATGCCACTGACCTCTAACTGGACCTTGGTACCCACTGATGTGGCTATCCTTCACACACACACTCACACACAGCCTGGACATCCCACTGACCTCTAACTGGACCTTGGTTCTCACTGCTGTGGCTATCTTCCACACACATACTCACACGTAGCCTGGACAAGCCACTGACATCTAACTGGACCTTGGTACCCACTGATGTGGCTATCTTCCACACACACACTCACACACAGCCTGGACAAGCCACTGACCTCTAACTGGACCTTGGTTCTCACTGCTGTGGCTATCTTCCACACACATACTCACACGTAGCCTGGACAAGCCACTGACATCTAACTGGACCTTGGTACCCACTGATGTGGCTATCTTCCACACACACACTCACACACAGCCTGGACAAGCCACTGACCTCTAACTGGACCTTGGTACCCACTGATGTGGCTATCTTCCACACACACACACTCACACACAGCCTGGACAAGACACTGACCTCTAACTGGACCTTGGTACCCACTGATGTGGCTATCCTCCACACACAGCCTGGACAAGCTACTGACCTCTAACTGGACCTTGGTACCCACTGCTGTGGCTATCCTCCACACACAGCCTGGACAAGCTACTGACCTCTAACTGGACCTTGGTACCCACTGATGTGGCTATCCTCCACACACACATACTCACACGCAGCCTGGACAAGCCACTGACCTCTAACTGGACCTTGGTACCCACTGGTGTGGCTATCCTCCACACACAGTTTGTATGTTTTGGGTATTTCTTTGGGAAGTTGGTTGTATGGAATGTTCCACTTGCTCCGGACAGCTCTCCCCCACACTGGCGACCTACAGACATTACAACATTACATCTGTGCATACCACAACAGAGCACATATTTCACGGCAGCAATGTGCAAGTGCATGTTGTCATAGGCGGCGAGGAGGGGGCAGAAGGAATTGGGAGGGTCATAAAAACTATTACACATATTTGGGGAGGGTCATAATAAAATTTACAATAGAATATAAACTGATTTTGCATTTTGTCTTTTCAGGAGGGTCATGAATAAAATGAACATGGTCATCTCGCGACACAGTATTGTATTGTGATACGAGGCCCACGATACAATACATTAATTTATGAGCCCTGTATCGAGATACAAACAATATATATTTCATGGCAAGTTATATTGGTGTAAAAACATGTGAATAATAACGGAAACTGTTCAACCACCACTTTATACAGATTCTCTAGTATCTCATGGACATAAATGACATAACATTCACAGTGGCCTCTAACAATATATTTCTGCCCTAAAATATCCCATTTTTGATCTCTAAAATTTAATAACAAATGTTTCAGCATTGTGATTCACCTGAAAGAGAAAGAAATATCAACTTGTGAAATATAAGTATAAGTATATATAAGTACTGTATCGGGATACGAATCATATTGCACCCATAGTATCGGGATACTATGGTATTGCGGCCCCCAGCGTATCAATACACGTCTAGTAATGAATGACCGGTCCCTAATGATGAACTGAACACTCACCATGGTCGCAGTCCCACTCATCTGACCCATCCTGGCAGTCCTGCTGTCCATCACACCTGCAGTATTTACAGTAGCACTTCTTGCCATCGGCACACCGCTGGCTGTGCTTGTTACATGCTCTCACTTCACACACAAACGGCTTCTTCTTCTCACAACCTCGCAGACTCCAGCGGAACTCTCCATACTTGGAGGACAGGAGGTCAACGTCCGTGCACTTGTCAGGGCTGGATCCTGGAACATTGGCAGTACCAGTGTGTCAGTACAAAGATAATGTTTCAACACCAGAAAGGGTATCAATACCAGAAAGGGTGTCAATACCAGAAAGCAAAAACTCTGCCAGCAGTGCCCTCTGTTGAGCAATAACAAAATAATGCCAGCTGTCCCTTTGTATGGTGTGTCAAAGAGGGTCTATGTGCCATTTGGAGCAAATATCATTCCCTGTCTTGGCCTGGGCTTTTGTTGGGAGACAAAGTGGAATTTTTGTTTCTCTGTCAGTGCATACAATTATTATCTCTGGAAAAAGGAGCCAAACACCTTTGTGTAAAACAGTAGACTTTTTTAAGTATAAAAACTGAGGCAATGTTTTTGGTGTAAAATTTGTGGTTTGGTGCAACCAGATTATCAAATGGTTGGTCTCTTGACATGCAAACTACACACAGGAATACATTTAGTAAATAAGCCATTTTGAAGCTTAATTAGAGCACATTTACCTGGGACATCATTTGTCCATTTCAATCAACATTAAAATACCCAGCCCCATGATGAAACCCAGGGAGTCTAATCAAGTTATCAGCCCATCTTCTTTGAGGGGCCTCGTTTTTCATATTCAATTGCTAATTACACAAGAAATTCAGGATGATACGAAAGGATGGCAGATTAAGATATTTCTGTGGACACTAGCATACCTTACATTCACACTTGTTGAACGTACCATGTTTGTATGGAAGTGGATTTCCCTCAGACCAGAAGCCTTGTTGTTCAGCAGTCGTCTCGCCATCTGACCAAGCGTAGCTGCCATTTGATGCCCGCTGGAACCCTGGGTAATACAATCTTAAAGGGTCATGATAATTCACAAAGGGTTATTCTACCATGACATTTAAGAATCCTGCATTCTGATTGGTCTTCAAGAAGTATTGAATATATTGACCATGATCTTCCTGAGACTGCATTACCTCAAAAGAAAATATTAATTCAGAAGAACTGCTTTCTCAAACCTTCCCGTTTGACAATTTCAAATACTGATCTTACTTGTTCAACATTGCTAAGTAATGTATTTCTACATTTTTTGCAGCTTTTCTGACTTCGATTTGATTCGATACCAGTGTTTTCAGTTTAGATGCTTCAAACTTCTTACTTCTTCACTCAATCACTGTGACAAACCATGAAATCACTTTTATAATAACTGAAGGGCTTCAGCGAAAGTGCAATGTTAAATATATGACATTATTAGAGTTAACTTTGACACATGTCACCAGAATGTGCAATGTTATATATATGACATTATTAGAGTTAACTGTGACACGTCGCCAGAATGTGCAATGTTATATATATGACATTATTAGAGTTAACTGTGACACATGTCGCCAGGCTGAAGATATCAAGCTGTCACTATCGTCAATGAGGGACTCCTGGTTTCATGGCTGGGAAACCCAAAAGTATTTTTGAGAGCCCCACGACTCCCAAATAGATAGGCCAGGTCCCTGTCATATGTCATAGGTATGCTCAAGACACCAAGAATGAGCTTCACACATGGGACCAATGTGAAATACAAACCAGAGTGTTTCCCAGGTCAAGCAACCGCTTTACCTGCTAGGCTACCTGCAAGCCCCTGATAGTTAGCTATATAACTTTAACTTATTGAGACAACAAGGTGGAGAAGAAAAAATCTACAGAGCTTGTTAGCATGAGAGGAATATGTGGCATATACCGTATTTTCTAAAGTATAGTGCACTTTTTTTTCCAAAAAAACACAGCTGTGTGGAAGGGGGTGCGCATTATACACGAATTAATGAGTTTTGATGTTTTTGAATATATTATTCCTGATAAAAAAATAGTTTCAGATACAATATTTGCTGATGCTTGCGTTAAAATCCTGTAAAGTTATATCATTGGGTGTGTCTTGACCGAATCACTGGTAGATTCCAAGAAAATGTGTGTACAGCTGATTGCTGTGTCCAGCTTAGTTTACGAGAAAATACACAGGTAATCTTAATCCCTGGATATAAAACAAGCCTAGCAGAACAAAAAATACAATTTAAACGGTAAATCAACATGTCTGGTGATTTTTTATCTCAAATTTCGAATTTGTACTGACGAAGTTTCTCATCACCCATTTGTTTGCCAGACTTCGCTAAAGGGGTAGATCTCTACGGTGTATTTTTTTTTCTGCTCTTGGTATTTGAATTATTTTTTTCTCCAAAATATTGAATCCGCTAGAGGGGGGTGCGCATTGTACATGAGTGCGCACTAAACTCAAGAAATTACGGTATGTCTTTGTTACCTATCCATGTGTACTGAGCGGCAGCCGCGCTTATCTTCACTGAGTCGCCTTTGAGGAGATCCTTGATTATTTTGGCGATCCCTTTGTTCTTATTGAAGCCTTTAATCTTCACAAGAGTTCCTCCGTAACTGGAAACAGAATATATGAAATGGCAAATTCAAATTTGACTGATCAAGATAAATATAGATCCTGGTTGTACCTCTGCTATTTGTATGAACACATGTTAAATAAAGTAGACAGAGATAAAAAAAAATAATCATACCAGAATGACATTTTTCTTTTTGTATGGACAAGTCTGCTCGAGTCGTGTGAGAATAAACAACGAGCTGAGAAGTGAGATGAGATGAGATGAAATTGTGTTTAACGTTAAATTTAAGATTATTGCAGTTATATAGCGACATGCATGTACGAATGTAGAATAATGTGGGTTTTCTGATCACATGAGGAGACATACCAGGTCAATGTATTGCTGGAACGATGTCACATAATACCATATGTTACATGAATAATGGATGTCATCATCGACAAGTATTTGAGACAATGTGTTCATACAATGTCACACAGCTATGGGTCAAGACAATGTATTCATATGATGTCACACAGCTATGGGTCAAGACAATGTGTTCATATGATGTCACACAGCTATGGGTCAAGACAATGTGTTCATACGATGTCACACAGCTATGGGTCAAGACAATGTGTTCATACGATGTCACACAGCTATGGGTCAAGACAATGTGTTCATACCATGTCACACAGCTATGGGTCGCCTCACATAAAATCAAAGCAATGGAACCATTGGCATGAACTAGCCAATCAGCATTAAGAAAAAAACTATAATGCTGAGTGAGAATTACTGAAAATGATTGCACTGAGATCTTTATCCTTAGGGGGAATATTTGTGTTTCATGCAGTTTTGAGCAATAATTCAGTCATGGCGGAAGGAAAACCGAAAGTGATGCAGGTCTTAGACACTTGCCACTGTGGTGAAACCCACGAGCATGGGTATGGTGTTGATAAACCTATGTGCATAATAAGGGTGGAGTTTAGATTCAAATCCACAATCACAGCGAAATTGGATCACCTTGATAACTGAACCTTCAATAGCCCTATCAATAGCAAAGCAGAGTAAAGATTATTAAATACCATTTTTGTTTTAAGACGTGTATATAGAAAAATATGAAAAACAACTTCATATTCATCCACCTTCACACCATTCCGTTCTCTTAGGTTAATAATTCAACATGTTCAAAAGAAAATAAACTTTCAGCCACTGAATACTCTATAACACTATGAAATCTGAAAACATATAAAGAATGTGTTCTCATTCACTACATTGCCAACCATGTCTGTGTCACGATGCCAGGATGTCCTTGTACTGACTAAGAGGTCATAGAGGTTACTGTTGTCATTCTCATTAACAGGAGCCTCGATTAAGTGTACCTACGGTAATGTGCTTTCAGAGATGCTGTGGCATTGAGAAAACTGGGGACACCATTGCAGTCTTGTGGGAAGTCGGAAACTGTTTCTAACACCAGGCTACAGGTCACTAAGATATTTGAAATATTGCTTTGCAGGCACATATAAGTGTGATGATAAAAATTTGAATTACCTCTTACAGGATGTCATCATACGACCAGACTCAAATTACTGTTGCGGCCTAGATCTTACACACAGGTACAGTCACCTTGTAGACTAGAGGCAAATTACTGTCACCCTAGCCACAGGATGTCACCTTGTAGACTAGAGGCAAATTACTGTCACCCTAGCCACAGGATGTCACCTTGTAGACTAGAGGCAAATTACTGTCACCCTAGCCACAGGATGTCACCTTGTAGACTAGAGGCAAATTACTGTCAACCTAGCGACAGGATGTCACCTTGTAGACTAGAGGCAAATTACTGTCAACCTAGCGACAGGATGTCACCTTGTAGACTAGAGGCAAATTACTGTCACCCTAGCCACAGGATGTCACCTTGTAGACTAGAGGCAAATTACTGTCAACCTAGCGACAGGATGTCACCTTGTAGACTAGAGGCAAATTACTGTCATCCTAGCCACAGGATGTCACCTTGTTGACTAGAGGCAAATTACTGTCAACCTAGCCACAGGATGTCACCTTGTTGACTAGAGGCAAATTACTGTCAACCTAGCCACAGGATGTCACCTTGTAGACTAGAGGCAAATTACTGTCAACCTAGCGACAGGATGTCACCTTGTAGACTAGAGGCAAATTACTGTCACCCTAGCCACAGGATGTCACCTTGTAGACTAGAGGCAAATTACTGTCATCCTAGCCACAGGATGTCACCTTGTAGACTAGAGGCAAATAACTGTCACCCTAGCCACAGGATGTCACCTTGTAGACTAGAAGCAAATTACTGTCACACTAGCAACAGGATGTCACCTTGTTGACTAGAGGCAAATTACTGTCAACCTAGCCAGAGGATGTCACCTTGTAGACTAGAGGCAAATTACTGTCACCCTAGCCACAGGATGTCACCTTGTAGACTAGAGGCAAATTACTGTCAACCTAGCGACAGGGTGTCACCTTGTAGACTAGAGGCAAATTACTGTCAACCTAGCCACAGGGTGTCACCTTGTAGACTAGAGACAAATTACTGTCAACCTAGCGACAGGGTGTCACCTTGTAGACTAGAAGCAAATTACTGTCATCCTAGCCACAGGATGTCACCTTGTAGACTAGAGGCAAATTACTGTCATCCTAGCCACAGGGTGTCACCTTGTAGACTAGAGGCAAATTACTGTCAACCTAGCGACAGGGTGTCACCTTGTAGACTAGAGGCAAATTACTGTCATCCTAGCCACAGGATGTCACTTTGTAGACTAGAGGCAAATTACTGTCATCCTAGCCACAGGGTGTCACCTTGTAGACTAGAGGCAAATTACTGTCATCCTAGCCACAGGATGTCACCTTGTAGACTAGAGGCAAATTACTGTCACCCTAGCCACAGGTTGTCACCTTGAAGACTAGAGGCAAATTACTGTCAACCTAGCCACAGGATGTCACCTTGTAGACTAGAGGCAAATTACTGTCATCCTAGCCACAGGATGTCATCTTGTAGACTAGAGGCAAATTACTGTCACCCTAGCCACATGATGTCACCTTGTAGACTAGAAGCAAATTACTGTCAACCTAGCCACATGATGTCACCTTGTAGACTAGAGGCAAATTACTGTCACCCTAGCCACATGATGTCACCTTGTAGACTAGAGGCAAATTACTGTCAACCTAGCGACAGGGTGTCACCTTGTAGACTAGAGGCAAATTACTGTCAACCTAGCGACAGGGTGTCACCTTGTTGACTAGAGGCAAATTACTGTCAACCTAGCGACAGGGTGTCACCTTGTAGACTAGTGGCAAATTACTGTCAACCTAGCCACAGGGTGTCACCTTGTTGACTAGACACAAGTTACTCACGCAATTATGATCTTAAACTGAGCCACAAGATGGCCCATGTCGACGACACACCAGTTACTGTTGCTACTAAAATCTTGTAGTAAAATCTATGACTCAAACAACACTGTGGTGACCATGAGTTAAATCACATCAGAACAATGCCACCATACCAGACCCAAATGATAAGATTAATTTCAATCTGATCCTAAAATGTTTAGCTGATGTGCTGTGATGACTCTACTGTGATGTCAAGGTCTGCAGTAGAGTCAGAGAGTAAAGGGTGCTTGGAGTGCCCAGAATGACACTGACATATGCCCTGGTATCCTGGTATCCTGGTATCCTGGTATCATTGCACACCTGCCAGATTATCTCAGTAATAAATACCTCAATAAATACATACCGTAATCGTTCTAAAAATATGAAGCTAAAAAAAAAAATACATGCTCACAAGTAATTTTCATTTTTGATCTGAAACCATAAACAGCTCTTTTTGAAAAACAATTTCCTGTTGCTTATATTTGTACACAAAAAGTTATTTGAAATTATTTATCTTACAGAGGGTTTAAAATCAAGTCAGGTGCTCCTTTTCGGTCTTGATACTATAAAAGTAGTTTAATTATTGTTATTCGTTTTACCACTCTTCTCTTGATCAACTAAAAGTAACCACAAAAATTCAACAAGAAGGTAATGATTAATCAAATCCAGTGATCGATATCATGGACATTGATCTACACAAATGAGACACAGTGACATGCATCAACCAAGTCAGTGAGCCTGACCTCTCGATCCTGTTAGTCGCCTCTTACGACAAGCATATATGGCTGAAGACCAATTCTAACCCGGATCTCACAGGTTTTTCTAAACAGAAGTAAAAACATATGCATGTTGCTCTAACAATAGTAAGCACCTCACACTTGATCTAGAATCTCATTCATATCTTCCCACTACTCCGACCAACTCAAACAACTTCATTCCAAGAAGGGGCAGTCGGGTAGCCAAGTGGTTAAAGAGAACGCTCGTCACGCTGAAGACCCGGGTTCGATTCCCGACATGGGTACAATGTGTAAAGCCCATATCTGTTGTCCCCAGCCATGATATTGCTCCAGCCATACTCACTCACTCACTCATTCCAAGATAAAAAAGAATATTGAGATAGTTTGAATTAAATAAGCCAAACCAAAATCTGCTAAAAGTATGAAAAGTGTGGCCTCTTGGTTTAATTAATTACTGGAATGACATACATAATTAAATATTTTGACATGAATCTACTTTGCTAGGACAGCCAATTGGACCAAACATAATCCACCTTTACCCGGGTATGTTAAATCTTTACAAAAATATATATAAAAACTGCTTTATTTAATCATAAAAAGACAAGTCTTAGATACACCATACCATAACATTTTTTGTCCTGCTAGGATTTGATCTATTTTCCAATTTATAAGAACAGAATATAGGTGGTATGTCACCCTATGAAGCAACAAAAACCTCCTTCTGAATTGATGTATTCCACAACACTTAACACTTATCACGTCTCAAGGGAAATATTTCTGTGGTTATAAAGATTTTAATGGCACTTTTACAACCAGACACATGTGAAGAGCTTGCAGTGCCACGCCTCGGAGATACCCACCTTTTACATATTATCTTTGCTTCGTCCCATGTGGCAGAGTCCAATATCACCTTGTAGCATTTGCCGCCATATTTGATCCAATCTGTGAACAAAATAAAATGTCAATGAGTGAGTGAGTATGGTTTTATGCCGCTTTTAGCAATATTCCAGCAATATCACGGTGGGGGACACTAGAAATGGGCTTCACACATTGAACCCACATCGGGAATCGAACCCGGGTCTTCGGCGTGACAAGCGAACGCTTTAACCACTAGGCTCACCTGATATGCTGCTGTTTGTTTGTTTGTTGTTTAACACCGTACTCAGCAATATTCAAGATATATGACAGCAGTCTGTAAATAATCGAGTCTGGACCACACAATCCAGTGATTGATATCATGAGCACTGATCCACACAATTGGGATACGGTGACATGCATCAACAAAGTCAGCGAGCCCAACAACCCGATCCCGTTAGATTCCTCTTATGACAAGCATGGGTTGCTGAAGACCAATTCTAACCCAGATCTTCACGGGTCGATGTGCAACGTAATAATGTTGCCTTGGATGGCTCAGCGGGTACTGCAAGTGTGGGTTTGAATCCTGATTTGCTCAAGCTATGATCCTTGATTTGTCTGAACCATACCAACCATGTAGATTTGACCAAAATGTCAATACAAAGTAATACACATATTTAGGGAAAGTCAAGAAAAAAAAGTACAAGAATATATATCCAAAAATACAAAAGCATCAGGGAAAGATAATTATTTTCAGAACATTATTGCCTCAAAAACCTTTGACCCCTTCTACCTGTAATAACTGACTGCTCCCTTTAGTTGAACCATGAGTTAGTGAGTGAGTGAGTGAGTGAGTGAGTGAGTGAGTGAGTGAGTGAGTAGTGTTTTACGCCACTTTTAGCAATATTCCAGCAATATCACGGCGGGGGACACCAGAAAAGGGCTTCACACATTGTACCAATGTTGGGAATCGAACCCGGGTCTTCGGCGTGACGAGCGAACGCTTTAACCACTAGGCTACCCGACCGCCCCGAACCATGAGTTGGACTGATCCAAGTGGCATTAAACCCAACTCACTCATCAACCAGTGAGTGCAAATACACAGGCTTTACCTTCTACCTTCTTACTCATGAAGCTCTATGCATAATGGAATCGGATGACATTTGATATAGTTTTAACAGCGTTTAAATGCACTTAATTTTTTGTTTATTTTATTACATGCTGATGTCCTTTAAGTGAATATGCCTTTTATGTTTATTTTAATTTTTGATCTTTTAACCTTAAACATCTCATTTCATGAATCTTAAATATTCGTTTATATTGAAACACATACTGACAAGTAAGAAGTACCCCAATTTATCTGAAAGTTGCAAGTATAATAGATATTAACTTAAATCTTGAACCAACAGTCATCAGATCCTGCCAAGACAAGGGAAATAACTCTGTTCCCTTGATTGCAAAAAGATAGCTGTATTACAAAAAAAAGTAATTATATTGGTTTAATGGATCTAATATACATGAATAAACCCCATATGGTTTTATTTGTCCTACACACAATTTGACATGTGATTAATCGAATCTTTTGACCTATAATTATGCTAATATGAAACATATAAACCAGTTTTTAAAAAAACATACTTTTAAATTTCAATTTATATTTTATAGTTCCCTTCTTTCATTTTAAATCATAGTATAGATGTAATTTGTGTTTACAAAAACATCAAGTCTTTTGAAATATATGGATGTAATTGCACCACAACGTGACTACCGTATTCAGTTTCGCTTTTATACCCACCCAAAACCTTTAATACATTAGGCTATAAGCTTGCTTGTTGTGCTTTCAGATTAACCCTTTTTAACCTAATATGTTTCTGTGTTAATAAACAGTGTAGGAAGGAAGACCAGCTTTCCTGAAACTCTGCATGCCGACAAACTGAATACGCAATACACTTTGTTACCTCAGAGTATTTAAAAATGTCTCTCTGTAATTGTAGAAAATAGGGCTTTATTCTATTTTGCCTGTATACCTGAATTACTTGTTCTGTTACAAGAATAACCACATTTAGTTGACTGCTATGTTTGTCTCCAAATCCAAATAAAATAGTTTCTTTAGTGAATAGAACTTGGCCTTCGGTGTAATATTCACGCCAGTCCGACGTGACATTCCGTACCCAACATAAAAGGGTGCATTAACATAATTTATGAACATCTGTGTCTTGGAGTATTCTCAAACTGATTATAATGGGGAGTCTGCATTCCAAAATTATGTAAGTGATTATTTATAGTCAGTGCGTTATTTATGATTTTGAATTGAAATCATTTTTCCACTCACTACTCTCTGTGTACATCTGTTTGCTGTAATATTGTGAATCTCCTGACTGAAATTGTTTTGGACAGTATATCTTCTCATTTACCATCAGGTTTTGTTCTTGTAAAGATCCAACAAAACAAAGTCTTTACATTGTTTTTTGGGATCTTTACAAGAACAAAACCTGATGGTAAATGAGAAGATATACTGTCCAAAACAATTTCAGTCAGGAGGTTCACAATATATATATATATATATATATATATATGATAAGATTAGAATTGACTAGATGAATTTCTTCAAACTACAGTCTTTGCAACAGCATTTATAAGACCTTGAGACCCCCTCCGTGGTCTAGTGGTAGAGCGTCCGCCCGGAGAGCGGAAGGCCCGGGGTTCGATCCCTGGCCGTGTCTTACCTAAAGACGTTAAAGGGGAAGTGTACACGCAAAAATCACTTTCTTTCTTTTTCTAAACAAAACGCAATTTTAGAATTAATTAGTATCTGTGTTTGAAAATATACACTCATTTTTTTCACAGTGAAAGTAGGAAGCTCACAATAGTGTGAAAATGATATGCCGTTATGAGGCCTTCGTTTTTCGAGCTAAACAGGCCTGAGTTATCCCCCTTAGATTATGACGTAATTGGTGCCAATTCAACTGGGTCCCTGTCTATTCTCAACGCAAAAGATATCAAGTACCAGTTTGCGGTAAAACAACATGGCCTACGACACACTCCGGCGCAGTGGTGACTCAGCATAACACTATGCTGGCTGGCATCTGAGACGCTAGAATCACACACCTAGACCTACACCACGTGAAGCGGCTCTAACAAAGCATTATGACGTCATAATGTTTATCAATTGGCACCAATGACGTCATATTGAAAGGGGCATAAGCCATGGTGTTTTTGTTGTGGAAATAGAACACTTGGTAAATGTGAAAAATATAAATCGTTTTAATGCGAAAAATATGTTAATTAATTGTGATATTTTTATATTTTTGTCTATGACACTTCTAGGTTAACACTTTTAATGTGGAAAAAGTACAAGAAAAATAGGTTAATTTCCGTGTGAACTTGCCCTTTAAAAGATGGTACTTGTTGTTACCCTGTCTGGCGCTCAGCATTAAGGGGCTAAAACAAGGACTGGCCAGCTCGGAGTCAGTATGCTATGTCTGAGTTGGGTATTAATGTTTAACTGTGGCATGGTATCTCAGTCCAGACTAGTACAAGCAGCCACACACTATATAAGTGCAATAATCTTGACAATAAAAGACAATTCCCCTGACCTATAACACTTGAAATGTGAGAAAATCTGTCTCACTTAGATGCTTTTCAATACACTCTTCATATCTGAATATATTTCCAGTATTTTTCAATAATTCGTTAAAGTATGTAACGCCTCTATCAGATATTCATCATAGTATATACAGTTACCATACATTTAGATGTTACTATCGTATCAAATGGATTGACTCATCGATGTAATAGAAATATATACCGTATTCGACGTAATAAGCACCCCGCTCTAATAAGCGCCCATGGCGATATTTGCTAATATATTTTCTAGTGAACAATCCCAATTAGCACCCCTTCCGATTGATCAATGTACACAAGACTTATTGATTTGTGTATAATACTCACTCGTGTGTTATATGCACCCTTAATTGTGGGCAATTAAATTCTGGAAGATATATCTGTCATGTATGATATGTACATACTTTTCTTTTGTAATATTTCAGGCTGTCAGCATAAACTACTGTACGAAATTTACAATTTTTCAACACTGTTTTTGTTCTCACCTAAATTATATTCTAATAAGAGCCCACTATTTCCAATTTTGAGAGCGCCCCGGGCACTTCATACGTCGAATACGGTAATTAGAACGCCAGAGAATAACCAGCTTCGGAAACAGATTCCATTGGGCGTAAAAGGCAAAATAGTGATAAAAACTATATTATATATCACTGAATGTCAAGTGCTCGCGAAAACTATTTATTTTTACACTGGTTATGCATGTTACTTTGACCATGTCATAACAACTCTCCAAAGTATTATCAGGTACAATATATAGTACATGTTATATGTCCCGATTCCACCAACATACTCTTTTTAATTGTGGTATCCTGTATCCAGCACAAGTCAACTATTTTGAATCACTACTGAAAGTCTCCTAAGCTATGCAGAGTTTTAAGTTGCAATAATGATTTCAATCATGGGTACTTTTATCCCTCCATATTAATATTATTATTGTGTAAGCGAATATGTTTTTACGCGTTTTTTAGCAATACCCTACATCACAGCTTGGAGCACTAGAAATGGGCTTCCCGGATTGTATCCATCTGGGGAATCGAACCTGGGGCTTCGGCATGATGAGCGAACGCATTAACCATTAAGCTACTACCCCCCCCCCCCCCCCTTCATATTAGAGGGTAGAATTATAACATCTCTCTTAACAAAATATGTTGTTGTTTTTTCTAAATTAATTGAAAAATTATCTACAATTTCTTTATCTGGGTTGGGTATGGAACCTAATAACTGGTCTAATTTTGACATTTCTACATTTCTACATTTCTAAGTGAGTGAGTGAGTTGGGTTTAACGCTACTTTGAACAGTATTCCAGTTATATCAATCGTGTCAGCTTAATGTGGGTGGAAAACTTGAAGTGATGCAGGTCTCAGACGTTTACCACTTTGGTAAAACCCATGAGCACAGGTATGGAGCTGACAAACATTTCTAAAATATATAAATTAAAAGTTAAGGACCAATTCTTTTCATA